CTACGTGAAAACGAAACAGATATACGATTTTAGAGGATTCCTTCATCAAGTCATTTGAGAACTAATTCTAATAGTTCCTGTTCAACGTAAAGATAATCTATGAAAATAGAATGATCATTCAATTATGTCATTATACCCGTAAAACGTTTGAGAACAGATAACTGAATCAGTCAAGAGTAAACTCAAAAAATCATAAATCACACAAATAGTAGAATGAGTACAAAAATGATACAGTGAAATTTTAGTTAGTAGAGCAAAGCACATAAAATTACAAAAAAATATCAGGTTGAAGGGCAGCGGATTTATAGACCAAGTCGGCTAGTCAGTCAAAATCAACACAGAGCCTGCCAAAAACATTTGCTAGCGTAAGTTGTCGTACTACAATAACACGACGAGATGAATCATAAAATAGATCGACATGATGTAGTAGTAGTGATAATGAGAAAGAGCAGGCATAGAGAATATGGTACGAAAAGACAGAATGAAAAGGTACGCGTCCTTGAGCGAATGCTGGAGTTCAAAATCTAAAGATAAAAATATGAATGAATTTGTCCGATTATGAATGATCTTGCGTTGTCTCGAGCAAGGTTTGCAATCATTGATCAGGGTTATCATGACAACTCTAATCAAGTAGTCTGCAGCCACCAACATGGATAAGACGAATAGTTAATAAATTGGTGGATTGATGGCACATTGCGATTTGGTTACCCCTAGAATTTGTCCAAATGAAACGAGATTTCAGAAACATGTCATACAATATAAATAAAATCAGAAAAATACATGAATGATACATTTTCATCTATTTCTTACTATTTCAATACAATATAGACAGATAATAATTAGATCACCTGTAAGCTTAAAGCTTTAACATGTGCTGGTATCAAAACAACTGTTGGATCATGTACTAAAGCTTCCAAGTCAGATGACATAAAATCGAATACCAAACAAATACACCTATCCTGACTGAATACATCAAGCAGAGTCAAAACATTGGGATGATCAATTTCCTTAAGAATTTTAATTTCTCGAATAGCAGATAAATTCATGCCATCAGCTAATACCCAACGTGGACCTGCTTTAACCTAGACAATGCAAATAAAACGGATGATATAAATAACTATTAATGAAAAGTGTTGAATGAATATAAAATCATGACAACACAATAAATGTACATTCGCTAAATTTCCCCGAGACATATTATTAGCACAGATGGTAAAAAAATATTTTTAAATAATAATGATAATGTAATGAGTGATAATGAAACACGAACACATGGAGTCACATTCAAAATGAACGACTAAAATTGTGTAATGAAATAACATCAAAACACAAAATTTGGAAAAAAGAGGAACATAGATATGCATTACTGCCAATCAAATCGGTCTGTACGAACTACTACCACGGTGGTGTATGCTACTTGTGTCTGTCGACGTAAGTAGTAAATAGCAGCAATCAGAAGTGGAATATATGGCAACAGGAATGAAGGAACGATAAAGTTGGTAAGTGACGATTGATGAAAGATGTGATGAAGTATTGGATGTATGGTTTTCATATTTTACGAAGACACTGCAATTTTGCATTTAGCGGTAAATTGGTTATCCTCACCAAGTCTTGGTTTACTACATTAATACTAGAACTACTACAACAAAATTACTAAATCATCAATTTGAAGAAATTTCGCATCGCTAAGAAACTCATATTAATGCAACTCATTAATTAAACGCATGCATTCTGTACTGAGCTTAAAGTCACACTATTCATGTATAACAGTTGATGAAGCTATCTGTTCAAACCATACTGGACCGGGATTTGAAACAGTGAGTTATGCTAGAAAGTACTGAACGAATAGTAGATTAAAACTTTGTATGTGCTTCCATTTCCAGTGACCAACAGAAATTTTAAAATTAAATTAAATGGGATATGATAAAGCGGAATATACAATACATAAAAATGAATTTCGTTCTCTATTTTCTCATAGTAATGTTCATCAGTCATACATGAAGTACAACCTAGGACATATGTATATCGGTTCAAGTTTCCACACCCCATTGGCAAAACGAGACGAAGTCGCCTAAACAAATCCGAGAGTGGTACAAATAATAACACTATTCGTGACGGTAGAAAAGATTAAGCATCGGAAATACGATTCGTAAAGTAAATATAGACTGGTGGAAAACAAAGAATGAAAACACTTGTGCTATTGTAGTAAAGCGGTGGAATTAAATGTACAAGATTTTCAGGATAAATAAAATGGAGTTGTTTAAAAATATACGTGTCAACTTTGTGGATTAAGGTAGTAATTTTAATATCAGTATTGTAGTGACTTCTTTTGTATTACAAAACTATACAATTTGTTTCAACTTTTAAACAGATGAATTATTCTGATCTTTTCACTTATTTCGTCATTTATACATGTGACTTTGAGCATGTGTATATTAAAGAATGTGTCGAAATGTTTGCTTGTTTCCTTCATGCCTATAAATATTAAGTCACGTTTTCGTTAAATTGATTAAGGATATCTGACTTCGTTTATTATTACTTAGTCTATCTAGCGAAACGAATCTATGAAATATAAATATCCGAAACATTCACATCCAACTTTTAAATCTTCATTATAATTAAAGTGATTTACCGATAGAACAAGTATGATGTAGGTAGGATCTATATTTCGTCTGCGTTAACAACTCGGTCATTTTGAAGTCAGACTAAGAGTAACTAAAGTGTCTTAACATTTGAATTTAGATATTTACATTGTTAATAGGAAATTTCATAAAAGATTCTTAACTGAAAATATTCATATGAAATATTCTTAGTAGAAGCTGAAATATAAAAATTATTATCGTAACATGATATTATTTTGTGTATGGTAGGATTTTATAATTTAAGGAATGAAATTCCGATTGCTAAAATGACGTTATGTTGGGAAAAGAAAACAAATTTGCTTAATCGGATTGTGTGTAGTCGGGACTTAATGACAAACATGCAGTTGTATAATCGCTCTTTTTCTCTTTTTTTCCTCAGTTAGTTTACTTATATTGCCAGTAGGATCAGTCACCTTCTAGCTACTGATCGACGCACATCGCCCAATGAACAAAACCCAACATCTTAATGTTTATTTCTTCTGAAGGTACTTCTAACCCAGTGGTCAATCAGAAGACAAAGAGTCAATCACAATTCGAAACTCAAACAATAGTATACTTGAAATGTGTGATCATGTATATATAACTTAATAATAAATCTGGAATAATAAGAAGCATGACAACGGTACATGAATTAAAAGAAAGCTTAGGAAGAGAATATAAAAACACAATGGTTTAAATGTTTGTTAGCCATACAATAAAAATATAAATGATAATCATACGTACGATAATCCCACAAGTCCTACTCTCATACTACTAGTCTCAATAGATTAAATAGAGTGCCGATTAACAAAGGAAATGTAATAATACAATGTGGCCGTGAAGTGATGGTTGTTCATGAGGCTGAATGATTGACAGAAGCCCTTAACTGAATTGATATCAGAAGATAAGACAAATGTTCAGTTGAACAGCTTTTCTTCTAATTAAACTACACGCTCACATACCGACTACTGAATACAAGAATAAATAAGACTTAAGGTTATTTAACAAGTAGACGATTAGGGAGAAATCGCAACTATAAGTAATACATTATCTAATAGAATTAATACTCAAATATTAGGCTTCATTCTTACTCTTATCGTACCATATATCTTCAATACAAAATAGTTGGATATTTTATTTTGTTGACTGAATAATGCGTTTTAGCTTAAAACACTGAATGGTAAGATACAAAATCAAGATATCATTTTATTATTAAGATAAGTAATGAGAAATACATTTACCTTTTTAATAGCTACTAATTGTCCATTTCTATTATTATCCTGAGCTAAGAATACATTAGCGAATTGACCTTCACCAAGATAACATACTTTTTCATAACGAGAATTTTTACTAGTTTCATCTACAAATATATCCATGCTAAAGTTGAATTACAAGAAGAAGAAAAAAATAGCTAACATTATGTAATCAGTTTATGTGAATCATGAAACAATTGGTAACATTTCGGTATACAGCAGGAACTTATATTGGTCCGTGGACCTCGGTGTTGATGAAGTATGGTTTGATATAATCAGATCTAATGAAGTGAATCAATTCAAAAGACCCTATAAAATAAGTAATCCGACATATCAGCCAACAATTATTTTCTAACTTCTGTTCTATGTAATCACTGCTCATTCTCTACACTAAAATATTGTATTACAGAAGTCAATAAATACACCTTGATATAAACAGTGAAGTCTATGATCTGGTTGTTTACAACAACAGAAAATCTGATTTCACAGATATAATGATGAACTGTTTTGTTCTATCATCAATTTATTACTGTAAAGGTTATTAAACCGTCCATCTACTGACAATCACATAAGAATTATTAATATATCAAATAACATGAAAAAGATCACATCTGAATAGTTGAACTGTCATTGTGAGAAAAAAATCGGAAACAAAAATACTACTAACTGACGTGCAAATCCATTCAAAAGTCGTCCGGCTGAATCCGAAAAACGGATCTATATTTCAGGAGGGCTAATCAGAAACAGCCAAATGATAAGTGCAAGTGTTTGGGCCAAGATATAGTTTTTATTTTCAAGGGATAGAATTTAAACCACTCGTAGACTTAAATTCTTAAGGGATATATGCATATATATATCATTCAGTTTGGGCAAAAGAATATCCTTTATCCACCTTTTCTACCTGGTAGTTAGGCACATGCAGACCATTATCAACTCTGGGACATTGCACGTCACAATGAGTCGATCGGTCTATTGGCGTGCTTTGAAAATTATCTTTAAACTAAGGACATCTTCTGTGCATTATCGAATCAAAGATTAAACATACATGCTAATCACAGACACACACACATCAAACATACATACACAGACAACAAACTGAGAACTTTATATTAGAAAAGATTAATTAAGTACTAACATCATTATTAAAATTTACATTCGACAATACAGAATAAAAATCGAATTTGAAATGGACATTTATATATAGATGAAATGAAACATAAGGATCTTGTCGGTATATTCAAGGAATAAAAATTATGATAAAATAAGCATTAGAATTCTTTCCACGTCAATGGTAAATCACAATATATACACATTGGATGAAGTATCATTGAACGCCAAGCGGATAAACGATCTAATGACAAATGGTTTGGGGAATAAAAATAACGATAGCTTAACTGATGATTCAACGGTAAAATAGAAACAATACGACCTATAAATAATTATATTTGGATTACAGACTAGCAGTGGAATCAGTAAGGCGCGTTTCGTCCATTTCTAAGATCGTCAACTGGATATACCACCATCCTAGTGTTAATATCCACACTATGACCGAAAAACAGAATCTAACACTACAAACGCAAACGCATTATCCGTTATACTAAGTAGTTCAGATAACTAATCGCTTTATCAACACGTATTACGTCTACTCGTATTAGTGCTAGCCACTTCTAGCCAAAATTCAAATGTACTAAAGCTTATAGCGAATTGTTATATAGAGGCAATCCCCCGATGATGTACATATGCCAAGACGGATGAAAATTCAGTACTGAATGCCAAACAAAAGAATTAACAATGGATTACGATTATTACGTGGGAAATAATCACATTGTCTACAATTTCTGAAACACTTGTGTTGAATATTTAAATAATTCACAGATTGATAGTATGTTTTGATTTGGTTGCATATAGCATTTTCTCGATCTACTGGAATCACAGCTACAACTCCACGTCGAAGTAGATCATGGCTGAACATCAGTAACACTGTATAAACGATATTAGAAGATGGACGTTGAAGGACTGATTAATTAATTTACTATTGTTATATTATTCAACGTATATTTTCAATGTTATACACTTAACGGTTCCAACATATACGAGAAAAATATCAAAGATATTTATAAACAAACACTAACAAACGACACATGTCCGTGAAACTCAATATCAGTTTAGTATTACAGATCGAAGAGATGTGTACAGTACTAGTCGTTCTATAAGACGGAGACTGTATTTACTTTCTTCATACTGATTTGTTTCGAGATATATTTCAGAGAACCAAGTATTTATGAGTGTGTTTCCCATTTGTATGCAGGTAGATAAAATAATAGTGAGTCCAATTCGATCAAACGCTTTGAATATTATAGACAAAAAGAACTCCATGCCTTTTAAATTATGAACATTTGTCAATTACAAATCTGATAAATTTGAATCAAAACCTTCCATCAATATAGAGCAGGATGTCAATAAACGGGTTTACTCGAAATGTGATGATTGGAAAAGGAATTATAGTATGTGAATTGGTAATCTACTTGGAATTTCCGATCAGGTAGTTAGAATCAATGGTCAGACGAAAACAGTGACATGGCTCAAAGTTTGTTATGGTAATCCAGATATATTCATTCTATGCGGTGTTTTAGAATGCAGTAATTGAATAGTACCCTAAGCTCATCTCATTTCATATATCGCCTGATATTTTAAATCAAACTAATATAATCATTTTACGAGGATACAAACAGTAAAATAAAGATCATTCACGGTACAACGATTATGAATGCAAATCTATTCAGTAGTTGTTAATAACTAACATGAATAATCTTACACTGATATAAAACTGATAAAATGCATACATGATCGAGGAAAAACAGATGTCATTTATGCAGAAATGCAGATGACAAAAACAGGCTTATTATAACTTTATTTGTGAACATCATTGATGTAACAAAACATCATTTGGTATTTAAACTAGGTTTCATGCCGTAACAGTTTACTATTCAAATGTCAATCAATTATGTAGTGATGTAAAAAGTAGGATATGAGTATTTATTCAAAGAGATTTTAACTAGATTGAGACTTATGAAATAACATGAAGAGTAGTGATAATAATCTTCAAAAATCACACAATTCTACATCATACCTTGAGGAGATACGCTAAGAGCTACACGATTACACCGAATGCAATGACGAAACATAGGATCAATGCAAGGTTCTAGAGATTGCATGCAACGCTCTGAAGAAAAAAGAAATGTACGAAAAAACGACTATTAAATCAAAAAAGTTTAGGTATTTTTTGTGTGATACTATTATCCAATTCAGCTACTGATATATACGCTCTCTGTACGCGTGCCTAAATCAGATACGTAAAGTGAGAAAACCAAGAGTAGGAAGCTTTTATTAGCCAACTGAATCAGGAAAAAATGTACAACTTATTCATAAATACATATCTTTATCCCACAGAAAATAAATTTACACTTTCAATTGTATGAACTGAGATGGTGGGGCACATTAGTATAATACTTGTAACCCCTTAACATTTATCTGATGAATGTAATGGGTAATAATTATAATTAGTATAATATTGTTTTCTTTTAATTACCCTCTAATTAATGATATAAGAATTGTACTTTAAGAATAGTGATTTGGATTATTTTTTCTTTTGGTGAGATCAAATATTTTGGTTATTACAATCTTTTTTTGCTTATTTGAATGAGAAAAATCTGTGGTTGGGGGGTTTCATCAATTTAGATGCTTTCTACAAGTGAATAGGTATGGATTTGGATGTTACAGAACAGATATGAATTGCCTTAAATTGCTAGTAATTTCTTTCCTATATTTTATTGTTATTATTGCTAGTTCATATAGTATGCCCAAACTGAATTTGTATTGTCGTATAATATAAAAAAACTCCGTTAGTGATTGAAAATCCGTGAATATTTGTCATTTAATAAAATAGACACAATATTTCTTAGACATAACATAATAGACTGACAAATGAATTCATTCATTATGTACCTCGACTAATACATGAAGCTATAATGAACAGTTATTTGGAAAATAAACTAAGCAGATTTCTTTATCACTATGTGCTTAGCATATCAACAATAAACTGAATATATATATATATATATATATAGTGTTTAAGACAGATTGATTTTAGTTGAGTTACCACCAAAAACAAGAGAGTATTAAATAGTTGTTTCGTTGTAATGTGGGAATCGTCAGTGCTAAGCAACCATAACCCCTAAAGAAAAGGTGCAATATATGAATAACTCACCAAATGGATGGTTTTGAGAGCAATTCAAATAAATTAGGTCGGGAATGACATGTACTAAACAGAAAAGAAAAATATATCCACCACACAACTTAAGGAAATAGATTGTACACTGTAAACACGACTATATTCATCGTTTCTAGATTAAAATATAGAAGAATAAAGTAACCGATAGTTCATATACGCCATTTTTTAACTGTCAGTATCCAACGTATGTATATTAATTTAAACAAACTGGGCTTCAAACGAAAATACTTGACTAGCAAATAGTTGTAGTATACAGTTATAATAAAAATAGGTATAAAAAATAGAATGTAGCACTGAAATTGATTCATAAAAAAGAAACATTCACCAACTTGCAGTATATGTTTCTACAATCATAAAACTCCACTCACACAATAGAATAATCTAAATTGTGTCAAATAAATGTTCATTTACTGAGCATTGAGGTAGACGTATTAAGTCAGCGTCTTTGATATTATCCAGGTTTACGCTTTCACCTTGATTTAGAGGCAGCCATACATACATACATACACTTAAACAACATCAATAGTATAAAGAGTATTTTTTAAGCAGAGATGGATGGCGACTAGCAGTGGAACCCAGGACGCCCGTCCCGTTTTATTCAGGGCTTGTCAACTCGATCAGCCTGCATCCCATAGTTGATGTACACTCTGGGACTTAAGATCGGTACCATTCGCTCCAAACACCATGGCATCGACATTTTGACTGTAGACTGTATAATGGTTAATTTTAGTGAGTAAAACATCAAGTTCTTATTCTCAAGGAATGTGAATATAGAAAGAAAAACTGTACTTGATCAATCCAATATTTTTATATAGACGCATATAAATTTCTTACTATGCATAAGAGAGTAGTGTAGATGATGAAAATCAAATTGAAAACCCTATTTTGTTCGATTATATTTATTATTCTAGGAAATTATTGGAAGAAATACATAGAAATTTTAATATATTCAGTATAATAAAGAACAAACAAACAAAAGGATATTTTCTGAGCATATTGGACATTTCTGTAATTGATTGATGATATTTTCATATGGAAATTTAAAACGATGCACATAGAGTTGTATAGCTAATTGCTGAACATTTCTAGCTAATTGAGGTAAATCTTTGACAAAACATATATATTTATTTGAAGTTCCATTGAGAATCATTGTATCATCTTCGTTTTTATTAGATATACAACTAGATACAGCATCAATGGTGGTAGAGGTAGTGGTCGTCGTCGTTGTCGTAGTGCTAGGTGTATTAGTCAATGTTTGTGACGTTGGTCGGAAAATATTTAAAGTGATTGTGGCCATTTGTGAAACTAATAAACAATCTGTTATAAGTAGAAACAAATTAAAACAATATTGAAAAATGAAATTATTTAATAATCAAATAATAATAAATATGAAAACCATTGATACAAGAAAGTGACATTGTTTGTTTGAGACTTAATTCATTCATCTTAAGGTTAAATCAGTCGAATATAAAGTATGGATTTGAAAGTAAATCTATGAACATTTGTCTACTATTAGTAATTCGTGTTGAAAACACCTTAACATAATAGAATATTAATAGGAAGAAAGCAATAAATTCACCGATAGTATGTATTTCGCAGAAACTTAAAGAATCATCAGGAATAAAGATATTTTAATATACAAGAAACTAGTATTAATCACACTTTTAAACCTTAAACATTCATCATACTTTCAAAATCCATAGTTGTTTTCCATTACTGTTTGCATCACTATATAATATGCGAAAGTTTTGTCATGTGAGGTTACCAACGGACCATATTCTTGTAGAAATAATAGAGATTGTCGTACAAAAGACTGATTTCCTTCTTTTTATTAGGCAGATGGATTAAAATCAGTTCAAATATCATCTTATTAGTATACACTAAACTAGTACAATTCAGAGAGCACACACTTAATATCTACATTTTAAGCATGACTTTGCATAGATAAAAACAATGTATTAAAAGATATTCAAAACAAGTGAGAAAATGACTGCTTGGAAAGTTTTATTTGTCTGTGAATTACCAAAAGACTAGTAATTATGTAACCATTTGAAAAATGTGATTTTATTATTGGAAATGTAAAACTACCATCAATTCCCCATAACTGATAAACTAAATGATTTCTCGTGAATAATATATACAGTTTACTATGTAATGCTCCGTGTTATTTAGCACTTGTCAGTAAAGTGTACTGGTAAACTTGAGTGATCTGATATTACCTGGAATAGAAGTTCATGCTAACAACGCCATTAAATATAAACAGTTCAACAGATTCACTCGAACAAGGTAAAATGGAAAACAGTACATACCACGTGCTTGTCTTTGTATAGAACATTTAAGAAATAAACGAAAACATCGTTCCAAATGACGTTGTTGGATAAAATTATCTAAATTAGTCAGCCAAAGTTGTGCACGGGACTGGGGAAAAAACACAATGAAAAAGCCTCAGTCAGACACAATCGATACTGTCATTCATAAAATTTAAGAACAGGACAGTATGTCAGAATAATAACTATTCTTCTAGGAAAAAAAAAGAAATAAATTTCTCACTTTGATAGATTCATCGGTGTCTTTGTTGAGCATACACAGAATAAACCTGAAAACAATATTAAATATTATAATGTTACAAAATCCTTAGAAATATCATAGCTAATTGGAATATAAGAATACAATTTAACGGACAGAAACTAAAGATGAAGCGAACTCTTTGAATAACTGATGGAAAAAAAGTGTTGAATTCTTTTCTAAAAAGTTTCCTATGAGTAGTACAACATTTTCAGAGTGCCCAAATGTACCCAAAGTAATGTATATAATTAACGAAACCATCCGCCAATTCCCCTACTTTCAATTATAAGTATTGCAATTCCACATTTTAGTTATAAGAGAAACACTTAGTTTAGTTAAGTACATTGTAGAGACTAACTTAATATCAAGAGGATTTTCATAAAAGACTGATATTAGCTACAAAGTCGTTTAAATCCATCGAGTAATAGACAGTTACTGGTAACATGTATTAAGTTGAACTTCTTTAATAATTAGCATCCACATTCCTCAATCGTGACCAAGCCAAGAACCGATAAGTTCTTCTATTAAACCTTGTTAGTTATGTAAGTAGTTAGAGAGAACCAATAACATTGATAAATATATATTATTCTACTTGATCTGTTTTTTTAATCTCCAATGGTTTTCTTTTACTCTCGAAAATTATTTCGTCCTTTTTAGTATATTTGTTCCCGTTACAGAATGCCATATTTTGTGTAAGATAAGAAATTTTACACGTCACTGTAGCTACCTTTTTTAAATTAGATTTAAGTTCAACATCAGCTAACCAACTGACTTCGTCAATCTAACCAACAACCAACAGACCTTATTGTAAACAATAGATCAATCAATTATTAAGTCGAATACTATAATAAACACTTATGGCTAACTACTGAAGGGGACATTTTTTCAGAATCAGTTGTAATGATAACGAGGAAGCTCATTAGAACAGTTTTTTTACGTTAAAGGTCATGGTAACAATTAAAACTACACCTGTAAATTTGAAGCGTTGTAAGTGGCTTATTCAACCAACTATGAGGAAACGAAGAATCAGTGAGAGAAGCCTGGTGAAAATCAATTTTCTCCAAACATATTTGTCGTAAATCTGTTGTATTGCTAGATAAATTATCAGCTTTGTCGTTTGATAAATGCCATCTTTGTAATAACTCTTGTAAACAATCAACTTTACGATTTAAAGGTAATTCAGGGTTAAATATAATTTCTTGTAAACTATCATTTGACCAAAACGATAAAAAATGGACCTAAAATTGAATGAGAGATAAGTTAAGGCTGATAATTGATAAAAATTATGAAGAACAATGTATTTAGTGATAAATTAGATCTACAAAGTATATTAATTGACTAGTGTAATGCAACATGAAAATATTACACTAATATTTACAAACGTTTTCTTTCCTACATAACTTTTCTAATAGAAAGAAAAACAAATGTAATTAGATGAAAAGTCACAATAGTTCATAATCATTAGCATTACAACTCATTAGTAATAAGAACTACAACCTATTCAAGGTGAAATTCATAAAACACATATTGAAATCCAATAAAAACATAAACATATGTACACATTCATAAAGAATTACTAACTCTAGGTGAAAGTAGAGCACTGCGTCGTGCACGATTATTGTCTAAATAATTGCATGGTCTGTAAAGAAAAAGAAAAATAAGATGAAGCGTCAGGAATATAAATAATTTAAACGCATTAAATTACACTGCCCATAGAGTTAAGTGGTTTAAATAGCTTTTATTTCAATATTGTCAGTAAAATCAATCACCATGTCATCTATGACCTTTAATTATCTATCTTCATCATATAGAAATAATTCATAAAGTTTACAATTATCAGAGTGATAATTGTTTTACTCGCCTTTCGTGTTAATGAGTACCAATACAATGTACGCTTAATTGGTAACCTATAACACAAAATTTATTTTGTTACTACTGCGTTGTAAACACTAGTAATGACTAAATACGAAAGAAAAGAATACTATTAAATATCAAATGACAAAACGATGGTGAAATAATTAAATACAACATACTTTTCAAGAAAACATACATAAACCCCATTCGTTGAAACTGATAATCCATGAAATTCCCAATGGATTACATCAGATTTATCGTAATTAGAACTACACCAAACAACTTGCCAATTCAACTTACCTACAATAATAGTAATATAGACAAGGAAATTGTTATATACATGAAAACTACAAGAATACGATATACAGTATACCCCATAAGTTGGTCGAACAGAAACTCAATAGTTAAGAGGCTCGGCGCAGAGACACTACAAGGGCTGTATGAACCCCCACTCCACCTAATTCAATTTGAATAACTGAATAGCATCACTGCCCCCACAATTAGAATATGAAACAAAATCAAGCACACAAATCTGTAGCTGATATATGAGTTTGAAAATCGCCTCATTGTTATACACCAAATGATAACAGTTGTGTAAATAATAAATAATATTAGTTGATCTCTTTTTAAAAATCTGTCAGACATTTGTTGATTGTCCGGACCAATTACCTGGATCGGTGTTGTTAGTCAATTCAGTGGAATATGAATGAAGAGTGAAGATAATGAGGCTGATTTTATTTTGTTTAAACACACAAATATTAGTACAGGAGGGCACCAAATATATATGCGCCACACAAATCTCATTCGATATATGTGAGGGTTGTGATACTGCCCGGGTGCCCAAACCGAAGCAGGTGGTTTTCTTAGGGAGTCAATCCCTGTTCCTTTGATCTAGAAGTCTAATCCACAAGACGGCGAGGCAACTTTAGGTGATCTGGTCCCATGGTAGCCGGTCATCAACAATAGGTTCATACGCGATTTGTTCCCTTAGGATAATGGAGCCTATGTGCACCATTGATTTGGAATAAGGGTTTCCAACTCCATTAAATGGATGTTCCGTAAACACCAACCTGGTTAAAGCACTGGACAACCTTTTTCCATCCTCTCATCTTCGTAAACAACATTTACTGAGAGAAGGCAGTGAACAGAACTTCTCTAGGAGTGTGTATATACGCGTGACCATATGAGAGCATTTCGAGAGAGAGAGACGACCTTCCCCAATATCATTTGTAACAGAGGATTTGGGGGTTGTGAAGATTGGCTCAACTAGTCAAACAAACAATAAATATGTGATTGACAGCCGACGAACGTCAAAATAGATTCTGGACGTTTTAGAACAATTTTATAACTGGTGGAAACGCGGTAGGCACCATCAATGTCAAGATGGTGGCCATACTATGTCGCAAAATTAACTGACGCCGGAAACGTGAACCAACGATGTTTTTTAAAAGTAACATGCTTGCCATGAGACATAAACGGTTTAGATTCATCCCCTGTTAAATTAGTGGGTCCACACCGTTGACGAACTTCAAACTACAGTAAATGATCTGTCTAGTCTAACTTAGTTTTTAATGGTTTCCAGACGAAAAGTATCTCAAAATTTATCATAATAAAAGACGAAAAACGATTAAATATTCTGGATTTTTTTGTAGTTTTTCAATACAAAATGGTGCGGCAGAATAGATCTATTCCTGAGATCAGTTTAAGAATGAAACACAAAGGCATTCTCACATATACTGATCTATTTATTTATTTCACAAACTGGTTCACACCTAAAACGTAGATGATCTAACAAATCTTAATATTATTTTCTCTCTAAACATCACTTGTTATGCAACTGGCGGGATAAATTAACTGAATGTCAAAAAATATGTACACTACCCAGTATAATAAATAAAATAAAGATAATTATTGAAATTAGTGAGTACAAAATTAATGGCATAAAATCACAAATATCTTAACACTATCAGATAGACAATATTAAGAAAGGGATGGAGAGGGGAATAAGGTAAATCAGTTGAAAATGTGAAACATTATTGATTAAGTTAACTGAAAGATATACACGTATAACCATGACCAATCCTAATTCGGCATGCTAAATAGAATACAATACAATTGAAAATAAACCCACAAATTAACAACCCCGAGATATGACATCAATCTATGAAGACTACAGTTTCCGCATTTAAGCTGTGTAGTGTTTGATATAAAGTAAACTGAAAAGTTAAATGATGTAATTTTAAAAGACTATACAGTGGCAACGATAAATTTATACATCTTATTTCATAAAATGAGTAAAATTACATTACTATCCTATTAATATTTTAATCATCAATGTTGTCATATTCCTGATATTGGAGATTAATTTATTCTGTTTTGATTCAGTCAAATCCAATATTTAAAATACAATAAAACGATTAAAAATGAAACCAAACTGCATTATTTTCTTTCACAAAAGATATTGAGAATTTCCATCGTGTATACATCCTTCATATAAATTAAATTCATTAGCTATGTTGATCAGGCCAGTAAACACATGCGTATTCATACAAAAAGTAAGATCTAACACCAAAAAGTATATAGCAAAAACTAAGTCTACGATTCTCTATGAGAGCGAAAGTTCTATACTAATATCATATATATATATATATATATATATATATATATATAATGTAAAATAAAATTTAAACCAAAAAATACTTACATTCAGACACTTCATCAAGACTGGTGCGCATTACGTAACCATCCACACTAGTCAGTAATAACTGTTCATTGTCCAAATGCATACCTACACAGAGATATAATTACACAAACATTTTACAAAAGTTCAGGTTGAATATGTAGTGTAAAAAATTGGATTTTTCATTGAAATAAATCGTAGAGTTACATGTTTGAAAAAGTTCGTGACGGGAATGTATCAAATTTTTAAGCTGAGAAATAAAACGGATATTTTTAAAAAATCTAAACATGTCAGTGAAAAATGAGTTTAATGTCTTTAACAGTGAATAATGGAGACTATGAGAAACGACTACCTTGAAACTACATCTAACATAGTACATGGGAGGTAGAGTTGCATAAACTGATAGTCAAATTGTAAAATCATCAATATAATTCGACCAGTACTTTTGGAAATTCGGCATTGAATAAAAGCAAACACACTTCTTATTATTCGGACAATCTAGTAATAATAATAATAATAATAATAATAATAATAGTAACAATAATGACAATAGACATGATAGTAATGATGATAATAGTAGTGATAATGATAATAACAATAATAGCAATAATAATAAGCCGCATATGATAAGGTGTTATTATTTATTTAATTATTTGAACACATACATATTGGTACAAGAGTGCGCCAAATATATATGCGCCACACATGATAAGGTGTACTAATTAATGGCGAGGTTTCGTAAATATTTTTCTTTGAAATATGTCACTACTGAAAGAAGCTAAAAATGAACAGAATTTCAGAAAACATACCATTAATGGATAGTGAAAGACTTACTCAATACCGACGGAAAATGAGAACTCAACACTGAAGCATCTAAAACTACGATTTATAAATACTCTAAAAATCATAAAATCTGTACATCTAAGTGAAATAATAACACGTTTGAGATGATATGAGTTAGTAATATATAATTTTCGAAGTTTACTGATTAATCGGGTCTTTTATAAGAACTATCAACAGAATTCTTAGCCATAACCCATTCATATGGTCGGCATTTGAACATTCATGAAATAGCCAACACAATTGATCTACAGTTTGTTTTAGAAACATACACTTCAAATAAACACCCTTATTAACAATACAACTGAGGACATTTTAAAAACTACTGAATCAGAAAAAAACTTTTAAAGTTCAGTTTAATTTTTTTTTAAATCTTGACATACCAGTAATATAGCCTAAAATAGGACTTGGTTGACTAACAAATTGGCTTTTAACCAAATACAGTGGATCTCGTCCACGACATGGTGTTGATTGGTTACTTGGTTGTTCTTGGTGCTGGTTCTGTTGTTGGAAACAAATCTCTAAATCTTCCTTAGCTATATGAAATAATAACAAATGACGACCATAGCCAATGCATAATAAACGACGAGACATTGACCAGGCTGATGCTAAAATGGTTACATGATACAATGAAGTTGTCCATAGATTGAATAAATAAGGCTGTATGATAAAGTTTGAGAAAGGAAAAAAAGAAGCAAAGCTGTTATATAACACGAAGACTAAACGAATGGTAGCTTCAAGGAATTATTTATAAACTATTAATATTTACATTTATATTCCTATAAGCATAAGCTTTCGGTTGGCACATTAACTACTATAATACAAGTTAGTAGTCTTAATTCATTCCCAAACTATTAGCTACATTCTCCCTAAATGCCCTAATACGGCCGAGAGTGGGAAGAGTTCGCTCTCCCTCTCGAAATGCTCTCACATGGCCACGCGTATATAGCCTCTGCCAGGCAAGTCTTATTCACTGCCTTCTCGAGGAAATACTGTTGTTTACGAAATTGAGAGGACGAAAAGCGAATGTCCGGAGCTTTAACCGGGTTGGTGGACATGGAGACTCCACCTAGGGGAGTTGGAAAACCCTCATTCCAAACCAATGGTGCACATGGGCTCCAGTATCCTGAAGGAACAAATGGCGTATGAACCAGTTGTTGGTCACCGGCTTACATGGGACTGCATCTCCTTACGTTGCTCCACTGCCTTGTGGATCAGACCTTCAGGTCGAAGGCTCCGTGTGGCCCCCTAAGAAAACCACTTGTTTCGGTTTGGGCACTCGGGCAGTACCACAGCCCTCACACATATCAAATGAGATTTGTGTGGCGCATATGTATTTGGTGACTCCTTGTACCAATGTTTATGTGTTTAAATAAATAAATAAACTCACAGCCCCTATTGGCGTGATCGTGCACAGTTGTTATTTTTCATTTTATGGTGTGATGCAGTCTGAGCTGTTTATGTATCGACCACGTATATTTGAAAGATAACACTAATATAGTGGGGGCTGGTTATCGTGTTTTGGATTCAATGAACTGGTCAAGGAGAGAAGCAACTTTATCAAGAACCAATAAGGATTCGAAATCGACTTAAGGCTACTAGTGCTGGTTGGTGTGTTATTGGTTAGCTCAGAAACAAGGTGATAAAAATCGATATTGTGATTGGTAGTCTTGTCACAGGTAAGTCGTGGGTTTAGCGCGGAATTTATTCCTTCACATTGATAAATAGTATTTCGGCATTATAGCTTACATCAGTTCGTGGTAAGACCATTGCTTTAATTCCTAACCATAGATTCAACTGTAAATCCTAATCCTAATTCCTCTTAATGATTTTTAACCCTCTATTGACACTAGTAAGTAGGTGAGTTGTCTCCAAGTCACTTCAGAGTCATCACAAGTCATCCATAGCTTATGGTCAGACCAATTTTTTCTTTGATATTCAGATAAGCCACTGAACAATAACAGTGTGGAAACTAATAGAAAAAACTAGTTCAAAACAATTAAAGGCAGAAGTTCCTTTTTATGAGTTTATAACAATATGTTAATCATCAGATTGAGATATTTTAGTTAATAAAAACCACCATCCATTTTAGTGGATAATTTCGGGCTTAAGGTACCGCAACTTCAGATTGATCTAAATGCTAAACAGCCAGGACTCGTAGCAATCACGATAAGATTCGACCAGTAAGTCTCGAAATCCAATACACTCTCTTGAAGAATTAAAAACTTTACTGAACATCATTTTTTTCATAAAATATGAGTCCACGTATCTATAAAATGGAGCAATTATTAGATTGAGATCATTTGGTGAATAATATGAAGTACCTGAGAGATTTGCGTACTATAGTTGTACTACTTATGAGTAACTAGTTTTTTAAGCGTATAATTTTTTCCGTTGTTAATCCCAAACTCCTTAATGGTTGATGGATTTTTTTCACATCATGAACCAGTCTTATAATATTTAATAATCTTCACAAGCAACGTAATGTTGATAGATCTTTAATCTGTTCAGCCAAACTGAACTTGGCATATTTTTACCGTTCTGTGATGAGTATTGATAGTTGTTACTGTTGAGCTTAGCACTTTTGATTTTTAATCTAAGCTAATTCTTATTTACAATAGAACCACTTTATATATTTATATGTAAATACCCCGGAAACCCAAATAGGTTCATGAGCTTAATCGATACCCGGTACGTTATTCCGTGAATCTAACAGTATCTATATCAAGGATGGGTACGAAGCAAAAGTATACGGCGGTGATCGTAAACAGTCAGCAATTTAACAGAAGTAAAACGACTAGTCTTTGTTGAAAACAAAGAAAAAGAAGAAACAATAACGGAGTTGAAACTAAGCTTTTTAAACTAACGATTGGTTTTCTTTAGTAAAGATACAAACTGGATAAGAATGTGCGTATCGTCCCATTTGAGACTTACGAGTTGGATGTACCTAATAAATTAGGTTAATTTAGTTGATCAATTAATAGAATCATAGCAATCAAAGTGACAGAAGAACGGAAATTTACACGAGTATTAAGCAACATAGATTTAAACATAAGTTTAGTTTCGCTTACTACTGTTAATACCAGAATACCAGTTGGAGAATATTCAATAGGGAACACTAAACCTTTCACTGAACCATCAGTAAAACCCAAAACAAGTAAGACTAAAAGAAAGAGAAAAACAAAGTTCATGTGTATAAGAATAGTTTTGATTAGGAGCATAACAATATATACATACTATCGCTACTACTACATTCATTTTACGACTACAAATTAGTAGCGGTTGTTTCAAGTTAATCTTATACTATACTCTCGTCAACTTTGAAACTCAGAAAAATCTAGAACAATAAATGAATGGGATGAAGAGCGTTAACTGTCAGTCAGTCAGTCAGCTACAACGTGGGACCAGGCACATATATGCATCAGTCCAAGTTGCCATACCTCATTAACACAACAAGATGGACACCGGATTCATAAAAGTAGTTAATTCAGAGGTGGTAATATATAAAAGAAAGATTGCAATAAGGATATAGTACACGAAGAAAGAATTAGTTCATAGAAAGATATGAAACGATTTTAATCTCTTAGTTTAAGGGAAGACAGAGAGTGTGTACACCGACGCCACTGTGATCGATTCTGAACCATGTCACCAAGGGTCTCCAACCATTGGTTACGATAGTCACGTGGACCCCAACCAAGTAGTCTGCATCTACCAACATGGCTCAGACTAGAAGTTAGTGACTTCAAGTACTGATGCCACGTTTTGGTTTGGCCGTCTCTAACTTTCTTCCAACCATCCCGAACACCGGTTAGCATTGCACGTCGTGGTAGTCGTTGTTCGGACATACGTAACACGTGGCCCAACCATCTCAATCGATGAAGATTCACAACCTCATCAACGCTTTGAATTTCGAAAAACAGATAAATTCTTATCATTAAGATGGGAATTAGTGAAGATTGTTTACTTTGAAGTTAGCATTTTTGATGAACTTGCTGAATAATCAGTTTGGGACTTCAGAGTCGCTCACTCACAACTTTACTAGAAACAGAATTTCAAGTCTTCTTAAGGGCACTAAAACTTAGTAGTCTTAAGGTAATGCTCACTGTAAGAGATAGAGCTCAGACTTCAACTAAAACCTTCATTGTTTTTACAGCTTCAATTTAAATTTCGAACGAAATATAGACAGTCCATGAAGTGAATAAAGAAACAGAAACATTCCAGTATAAATTTTAATCAATCAACTTTATTAACACTACATCCGATATAATCACTTCAGATTTTTAGTTACTTTTCCACTTGATACGATAATATATATAATCCACATGTAATCTGGTACATTCGGGGACAAAGAACAGTATGAGCCATACAAATAATATTTGTATGTGGTTTAGGATACTGAACGAACGCTTGAAATGAAGCAGGTGGTTTTCTTCGGTGACCCACTTTCCCAGCTTTTGATGTAAAGGTCTAATCCACAGTTCAGTGTATAACCATCAGGATATGTCGTCCCATGCTAGTCGGCAACAGAGGTAAGTTCGTTTCCACAAGGTTCTGGAACATATGTACAAGATTGACTTGGGATGAGGGTTTTTCAATACCCCTAAGTGGATCCACTGGTCCGGTTTAAGCGCCCAATGTTCGCTTTTTTCATCTCATTCCTTTGCCTTCTGGAGTCAGTCGGCAGAACTTTTCAGTCAGAAACTATAAATGTATAAGAGTATGAGAGGATTTCGAGAGGAAGTGTGAACTCTATATACACTCGTAAGCACAATAACTATCGAGAGCTGAAACTATACATAATTCAGTGAAATTCTTTTCACGAAATTTTATTCAGCAAAAACATTGAGGGAAAAATGATAACTTACGATTGAGACTATCCAAATCATAAAGTTTGATATAGTTTGGGTGTTTATCCATCGAATCGCTGCGCACGACAGTGTATGTATAATCTACCCACAACAATGACATTGATGACCTGAGTCATTTATTATTCCACATTCCAGATGAAAATAAAGCAATCAAATGAATATCAACTATTTATCTTCATGAAAAGTAAAATGAGGTCAAAAAGAACAAGGTACGATCCACTTTGGCGACAATCTAGCAATAAATAGTTTAAATGTTTTTTTTTCTGGTTAGCGTATTTTTTAGTAAGGTCTTTTTTGATGGGAGTTGAGTAGGTAACCAAATGCCCAACTCCTCTTTCTTACCCGGGCTTAGGATCGACAGTAACCCTAGGATAGCTCTAAAAGACAGTTAGAAAAGAAGAGCTCAGAACAGAGTATATTTGAGAGCCCTGATCGATGGCCTATGCTCCCAAGAGGGGTAACGGGCGTAAAGAAGTATCTAATAAACAGTAAACTTTACTGTTCCACAGGTGTGTAATATAAGGTTAAGAATATAAACAACAGGTCGAGAATCAAACGAGTTCTTATGTGAGGGGTCACAAAATATTGGCTTAACACTATATATGTTCTACAGTAAGCAGAATATTAAATCTTCACGAATAAATTTTCGATCATTGAAACAAAAGAAAAAAATTCTTATCAATAGATGATGCACAATGATACGATATGACTAAGTATGGATGGTGAAGAGGGAAAATAATTGACTTAATCCTTCAAATGATTTGAAATGAAATACAAGAACACTAACCAGAAGAATATGTTTTCATTTAATGAAATGACATGCTTCCATACAACGTATCAATGTGAAACAGGCATGATAAAATGTCATAGAGAATTGAAAGAACTTAGTATCCAGGTCAGTCACTCCCCAATTAATTCAAATATGATAAATAGGTCTAATTCTTGGGCATCGCACCTATTGGATGGGAAATCAACATTGCAGGTAGTTGACCGCTAAGATATAAGTGTGTCTTTAATTCAGATTTGTGAAAGTCAAGAGAATACAATAAATGAACAAAAATAAAGTAACTTACACTCCAGAAAATGGTACTGAAACCATCCATACAGAGAATGCACCAGATTTCATTAAGACTGCCAAAAATGTCACTGGGCATAATGAAAATGATTCAGTAACAAGTTGAGTTGTGTCAACTGGTATCACGAAATAGGACCTGTTATTATTTAAGCAAGGTACAGTTTTCAAATTCATTGAATTAGTGGATTTTATTTGAGGTTGTCGAATTATCTGACACCAACTTGTGTAAACAACTATAACATCTTCTATTGCATCGAAATAATCCATAATATTTTTACATATTAATGGTGGAATATTACTACATTCAGTAGGCTATACAATAGACAAGAGAGTTTACTGAGGGATAACTATGCGGATAATGATGAAGAAAACGAAGAATATTACTGTTAATGATAATGATAATTATTAATAATAAACAAAATTGGAAGATGCTTGAGTAATTAGATAAATAAATTTTTTTATTGTAGGGTGAGGGTTGGAGATAGCCGACTCGTCAACATAGAGTAACTGTAATCTTGGGAGAGCTGATGCTGTCTGATAGATTTGATCCTATGTCACTCAGTTTCCTAATCAGAGATGCTACCACTGTGCTGCTTGGTTTATGAATGACCTCCTGCAGAACTGAGATGTATTAATAATTGATTGACCACTGAGTAGTGACCAGTCAATTGGGAATCCCTTTACTGTTTATATCAAAAAGTTATGTCACAATTATATACTTCTTAATGTTAATGATTGAAAGTTGGCAGTTAAAAACTGCTTTAGATGTCCCATTCATTTTATGTAAACTATGTCCGGAGCTTTGCCGATCAAATGATTTATTCTATTAGTTGCTGATGTTACCAGTACTCATACTACTAATAATGATTATGCGGAAAGTATTCGTTCTATTAATGATTAGGTTGCAAGTATTCATCTTATTTACAATTGAGTTACAAGTAACTTCTGTGTACTAATTCGAAGGTATTTATCGATCTGATAATCACATTATCAACATTAATTGGTGTGTTACTTTTCATTCATATAGTTATATTGGCAAAAAAGTGTCCTACAGATTAATGATAAATTGTAATCGTACAGTCTTGACATTCAATTACGTCAATCAGAAGAGAAGCATAGTTACAAGAGGATATCGGTTGCCAGAATCAGCACACTCCTCAGTGGTTACACATTCATTAAGAAAATGAGATGATATGAGCCCATCCAAACACCTTTAGTTGAATCTGAGACCTATTTTTAGGAAAGGAAGGTGACGTAATAGAATAGAAAGGCAAAATTACGTTTTAAATTCATTGTGATTTTCGCTCAACACCACTTTCGTTTAATTTGGGCATGATGCTTATTAGGTGTAATACTTCTTTTATCAGCAATGTGATATTTTGTCCAGTATACCAGTGAAATATTTTAGCATGATATTTGTTCAAGACAATATTTTTTGTATTAATTCAGTGTGATACTCGTAGCTTCAGATTTTGTATTAATTCTGTGTATTTCTTCTATATCCGATAATTATTAACTAATCGTCAAATAAATCCATATCACCAGTCTTTATACCTTCGTAGTGACTCTACTACTCACAAGAATGTGTGTAAGTAGTGTGTGGCAGAAAATGACGTCGAAGTTGCAACAATCGTCAGATGGAGTGAACAGTTTCAGTGCATCGAAACGTTGGCGTTGGCAGAACAATTGGTGACCAGATGAGAAGTCAGTTCAGATAACAGAACACATCGAAAGATGAAAATGGACGATTGAAGGCTAGGTATATGCATTATGTAAATACTTTGTAATTTCTCACAAAAAATACACATCCCTCCCCGACCGTTGTCGTGTTTTACACCCTTACCATGCATCATCGGATTGGGGTTTTCATGCCAAGCACAAGTCAGCTGACCATACAGCAGATATAACAGCGCGTCTTATCAACTGAAGTGTGGATAGTGGATGCCCCTGTCATCTTAGGAACCGAACCCAAGAGCTTACGGTCAGTAACTTTAAATCTAAACCATTTGTGCATTTTCATACAAAAGCATCTCCATTAGACCTAAGTTTTATTCTATAACACTTTCAAGAGCCTTTTAGTTGGAATTCTTAAAGTGAAGAGTCATTTTGGTAAATTTCCACTAAATAAAGCTAGGTAATTAATAGTGTAAGCTACACAAATTTAAAAAAGGTCTAAATAGAGAAGCTCTATTCAGTCCAGAGGTTAATTACTGTTCATTATAATATGACACATCAATATTTTACTAAATGTACAACAGAACTAAATAAGACAAGTGATTATAGGAACAACTAGGCAGTTTTGATACCCTGAGTACTAACACCAGTTTAAGGGATTTATATTTAGGAATAATAAGTTAGGATAATCAATATAAGAACACTAACTTGGAAAATAAACTGAGGTCGACTATCAACAACCACCTTTCGACTTTGCGCGATCCTACCATGTTCAACATAGTATTGCTGCCAAATTAACGATAGATCGACTGACTGATAAAAAAATCAAAAGGATATAAATAAAGGAGTAATGTACAAAAGAAAAAAATTGCAGTTAGTAGATGCTGAACGGATAGGATAATCACATTTGAAATTACTTGATGTCACATGAATAATCATTGAGAACAAAAACATACTGCGAAAGTCTTATTGTTCGGATTGAAAGCTAAAAAGTAGTACACTCAAATAACTTCGTTCACAACAGTGTCGATGCTTTTCAGACATTACGATATGAAGTTTAACTTTTGTGGCATTTAACTAATTCTTGATGGCTTGCACTCGTAAATGAGATCAAATTATGATACTTACATCGGAGAGAACTCAGTTTTTCTGGGCACATATTATGATATATTTGAACTTTAAGAAAGGGTTTCTGGGCACACTATCAGTGGGAGTCAATCCAATTGACGATTAATCTGGATATAATCCTTGGAGGCGTGAGTTTGATTCAGAAATAAGTCACAGCTATGGCATACTAAAAGCATGATGAAATTAACCTCCGTAAATCTTCAATTCACATTTGAAATAATATCCAATCATTCAGTTAGTGTGTGGGCTGGGATATTGTCTCGGTCACTGAACAGAAACAGGTCGTTTGCTTAGAGCGCCATTTCCTATACCTTTGACGTACAACCCTAATCCACGAGACAATGGAGCAACGTTAGGATATCCGGTCCCATGGTAGCCGGTCACTATTTTTTCCATCAGGATAACTAGTAGATAAGACCTACTGACTTTATAGTAAACACAAGTAATATCTTAATGTTAAACACCTTAGGCCAGTTCAAATAGCGGTTAATGTAATCATCAACCAAACTATTATAAACAAGAAATTCCTTTATTGAGGTTATAACTAAAAATATTTAAATGGATTAGAAATACAACTTACTTCTTCCCAAGATTCAGTTCCTTTAAGTGTGCACAAAAATGACCGATTTTCCATTGTTGTTAAACTCATTATACACCTATAGAATTGAAAGAAAATTGGTGACTTTAGAAGCTGTCTATGAAGTATACAAATTATTGAAAATCAACTCCATAATATGATCTGTCTCATAAATGCTACTTTCATTGTTATGTGCTCTAACCACCCGCCAAGCTCAACAAAATTTAAGTAGACTGAAAAACACAGCGCAGATTTAACAAAGCGCATGAGTAAAAGTCAATAAAACTTACGTTTCAGAGGGTTTATACATTCTACGTGCTTTAATGATATGGAAAACTCAGTGACCAGAACACTTAAATTTTAGTAATTTAATCATTTTACGTTCTACTCTATAAACTACAGAATGGACAGAAAAATATATCATAATACCTCCACACAAAGGATATAGTTCAAAGAATGACGTATGAACCTGAATGGACTATTCTGTTGAGAGGTTGGTTACTAGTCCCAAATCAGCTCACTGACTACAGACTCGTTTAAGTAACCCTATAGATACGTTCTACTCCTACACCAATTTTCCAAATACTTATTTGCATTTATTGATACGGTTCATATTAAAGCGTTTTCCAAATGTAAGATCTTAGTGTTAATTACAAAGATATTTTCGATGCTAATCAACCATAGAGTACACACACTAACGACGTATCGAGAACATCGTAAACTATAGTGACTCACTGGTAGATTAGCATATATCAAATTAATAAATCTTATACGTTCTGTGCATGAAACCATTGACAATTCTGAAAACATTTGAACCAAAATAGAGCACCATTTTGAAAAAAACATATATCTCACATACACGAAGTCAGACAACAAGAGAAGAGTCTAAATCCTGACTATTACGGATAGCGACTTTCATGCACAATAAATAACGAACTTCAAATTTGCGAAAACCAACCTTTCATATTTGTCAACTCCTCTTGGACTCCAGGAAACTAACCGAGCTCCATTCTTGAGATTCAAGATGTCTCGATTCATTTGTTCATAAGGAAAGAGAACAGATCTGTTTACGTTTTCTTTGAGTGAGGATTCTGTGTTTGAAAAAACAATAAGGAGACAAAATCATTGAGCTTACTGACTTCATGGTCAACTTCAGATCCTTTTAACATACAATCATCATCAAGTTCGATCCTTAAAGAACCACGGGCAACAAAGTCAACTTCTTGAGCAATTGCTATCTTCTTAGAATGGTCGTCATGAAGTGAAAGAGAAAAATTCTAAATAGGAGGGAAAAAATAAACATATTTATTGGAAGACAGATATGAGCTCACAAGAACTGTCGTTGAAGCTGATAGTGGGGAATCAACAGTAGATGACTGAGATAACTCACTGAAAATCTTAAGTAATTCAGCAGTCGTTGAGTCTTACAATAGCTGTTTTTAGAAATCCGATTTTAGTTTACCCGCGAGGAGTACGCACTAAATCCAAACCAAACGTTTATCGAATTATTTAACAAACACCCTCTGGAATACTATCGTGACTTAATGCAACCCGTACAAACTACTGGCGAGTCACCAAAATACTGACTAGATGGACTCTCGAAGTGAGTACAGCAGTAAGCAATGTAAGTCAAGGAGTTGATTAACCGGTTTCCGATATTATTTCATACTACGTAGGACACAAAATAGGGAGTTTATTAGTGCTTTAACTAGGCGATCACATACCAACCTAGAAGTGCATATATCATTAAAGAGTGGTAGATGAAACAGGTGCTATTACATTTATGTAGTATTGACGGACATCTTATCAAACTGACAGTTAGTTTCTTATGACCATGCTATGGAAACGTCAGTAACTATATAGTTGGGTAAAACTTACCAAAATATATAATTTCTCGGCTGTTGGAATGGCAATCTTATCTTCAGAAGAACCTACACATCCTCCAGTAGTACAAATGGGATCTTTTACTGATAGAACAGTGGACGTCTTTGGTGAAATAGTAGGATTATTCACGATTAGCACCATTCCCTACTAGAGTTAGATTTAATGTAATGAAAAAATTATTGTTAACAGGTGTACAATCGATCAAAGTAAGTACGTATTTGATAAAAAGGATAAAAGTTACAGAAACTAGTAGTCTTGCATACATTTTATGATAAAATAAAAAGAAATGATACAACTGACTTTGTTGAAGCACTACTTGATCAGATAGTATACTTTAGCCACCACGCATCGAAGTCGTTGGTATTTTTGTATTCCAATGATGCTACGAACACCTCATGTATTTGGGGTAAGAAAGATAACAAGGAAGAGTTTATTTGTAGAGTAATTTAGCAACACAATAATTTAACATTTCACAGTCAGCAATTGAAGGAGTTGCCAGACGCAATTGCATCTCATAATTTGGCAGTGCTTCTGTTGGGGATGTGAAATCCTTAAATATAACTTATGGGAGAGAAGATCGACACCAAGTCAACATGAATGTAAGGTCGAATCCCAACGTTCCCACATTAATTAAAGGGCTTTCGATGAGTTGTTCACTATTATTTGTACTTAGAGCAAATTTTCAAGTCCGTATGTTATAAATGTTATAGTCGATAACTAGCTAACCTAAATTTAAACTTGATTATTACAGGGTATCTATCAAGAAAGCTTCTATATAGAATCTTAACTACTCACTTTAGTTAAAAGGACAGGAAAGAATATATTAATAGTTGCGTTCAACGTGTTGACGTTGGAGTTGGACAGTAGTAAATTCGTGCACAAACGTATCAACTATACACCATTAAATATGGTGGTTTTCACGCAAGCATCGAAACTATAATTTATGGGTGGACCAATCAGATTAACGACAACAGGTCTTGAGTTTTGGCATTATAGATGTTGTCAATTCGTGATGAAAACTCCATATCTGATTCTTAACCCTAGTCATCAACTGTAAATACCGATCCTAATTCCTCACGCTGGTTTATAACCCTCATTTAGCCGTAATATGCAGGTGGGAATTCTCAAGGACTCTTTAGGGTAGCTTAAAGGTCGTCCATATATTAGTCTCACTGAATAATTTATATTTGATACCAACAGTCAGTTGGCCATAATGATGAACTGTAAACATCAAGTTAACGACACTTGTACTCGATCAACGTCTTAACACCAGACATAGGAAACTACAACTTCCCAGTTTGTTAAGTATTGGTGGTTGGTAAAATGACTACTTACGCTAGATACGAAGACCAAATTCAAAGATATGCCGCAAATCTACCATGCTGTATTATTTAGATAGGTGGAAAAGCGGCCAAGTGTTTGTAGTGAGCTACAAAACTAATTTTGGATTCATACAAAGGATTCAGAATGTCAAGCCACTTAAACCCAGTGATCAACCAATTTCATAAGGACGCAAATGAGATGATGAAATTGCGTAGTAGATGAATCGCCATCATTTGAATAACTGTCACATACCAGAATTAACTCATATGTAAAGCAGAAACAGGTGGATCACGAAACAGTTTAACCCCCGTTTGAAAAGTCGCTTGTCCTTGGACACGACTTTCAATGTATAATATTTTCATGACGAGCTCGGATATGCAACGGATTCGAAACCTTACAATATCAACTTCTAGCTTCGATAACCAGATTTTCTTAATCTCGCTATTGTGTTATTTTAACTGCTGTCTATTCCTCTCATTATCAAGTATAAGTGAATTCTATGTCCTTCTCGAGTCGTCAGCTCACTTCTATCTTCCAGATAGCTTCACTTAATACTCCTCACAACCCTTCAGTTCTCAAAACACCTTGGAGGCACATAAAAGTCCTCTAATGTTTGAATGTTACACATAAGCTAATTGATTTCTTGGCTGTCGCATCTCGATGTTGGTTGTCATGTTACTTTTAAGATAATCTGGGTTAAGGTAATCCTAGGGCTGGAGAAGCAAAGTGATCTTCTGTTGAGTAGCGCTCGTAGTAACACCCAAGTAAGACCTGATATGCTTCTTGAATATATAACTGAACTAGAAACCCGTCAACAAAACGGTGAGGAGAATCTCCGTTTAGTGGGTCTTCGAATAGTCGAGTCTTGGAAGCGAATGCTACCAATGCATGTGTAGATGGGCCATTCTTTCACGGCGTTTTATATACCGATGCTCGCAGCCTAAGAAATAAATTCTATGAACCAGAAGCTTGAGTGGACAAATTAGTGCCATTCATTGTAGCTGTGACAGATACTTCGATATTACTTCTGATCTGACTGGATTAGTATCTTTCGGTTATAAATGTGTTACGGGCAAAAGTGTTGTTAGACCGTAAGTAGTGAGGGCATCTTTAAGCTTAATTTAACGGTCCTTCTGTCTTTGTGATATTCACAGATTCTAGCAAAGCATTCGATAAGGCTTCTCACGAACATGAATACAGAAACTCTCGCACATTGAAATAAGAGGTGCCATACGAAAGTGAGTAAAATGTTAAAAACCGGGGGTGTAGGAAAACTAGATATTACCTGAATGAAAACCGGTTAAAATAGATGTAATCCAACGCTACATAGTATGTCCTCCATTTTTCAGCTCTACGAATTTGACTACTTAAGTTGTCAAAACTGCAATTTTCAGATGGTATCAAATTCTGGAGAACGATATGTGGAGAGGCTGATCATCTTGATTTGCGTGTTTAAATACACAAACTGGTTAAATGGTCTCACGATTGGTACTTAGAAATGTATATCAGAAAGTATGAAATGTACATCGGACACCATTATAATATCGACGGCACATATCATCCTTCGAAGTGTCAATAATGCATCGTAAAAGTAGACAAATTATGTAACATGCATCAGGCACAGTCGTATCAAGGTGGAGATGGTAATCACTGTGTCTGTACATGTTTTCAGGTCTCCTCTTAATGTTATCCACTAGTGGGGCCGTTTTTACTTCAGTTAAGAGAGCATTCCGACCGAGTGAGACTTTTAACAAGAAAAAAAAAGCCAAAACCGCGGAACAATGATGGAAGATAATGGAAGCACAACAATGGCCGTAATTAGCGCAGTTAAACAAAAGCCTATTAAAACAAGCACTGGTACAGTTGGTTATAATAATAATTGTTTTCATTGAACCAGCCGTGTTCTCGTGATAAATGTGAGTCACTACAGGTTTAAGTGCTTTGTGCCAAATAGGGCAGAAAGTTCATGACATGACATTTTGACTGAATAAGTTTTAATACGTTGTCTACTATCGATCCTTATGTTGTGAAGTACTTTTGAATTCTTTTCAATTTTAATAGACCTCCAGACCTTTGCAGTGCCTACATAGATTAGTGCCACTGATCTCAGTTTATCTAAAAGTTAATGAACAAAGTCCCGGAACAGGAGTGGACCTAGAGTTGAAGCTAACAAGCCTTCACTTAATCTGCGAACGAGAAACAAGACTCGGTGACCAAAGACCAGTAAGCTAGCTATTGATGCGTCTGAGCCCCGCTAACTAGAGGGAGAATTTCATGCTTGGAATGGGGAATCATATCCTACAAACAGCCAGAAACGAGCAACAACAACTCTCCTTGGGGAGAGTTATCAAATAGCATACTAAGAGACGCAACAGACCAATAGCAGTTAAGATACTTCCCAGTGGGAAATACGACATGAAGGTGACAAGAGCACCTTTGGCGCGAAAACAAAGAAATTCAAATTTTCTAAATAAACTTACAAAATTGGGTCCTTTCCCAAGTGAACTCTGGGGACCTAACGTCCCCAACACTGCATTACTAATTATTTGGCCGACTTACTCATTTCTCTCTGCAATCAATAAACTCCCTGCCTGGTAACGAGATAGCTACCGCTATTCAAAAGCCTTACTGTCCTGAGACCAACACACCCAGATTTTAAAATGTGCAAACATATGAACAACTACCAGACTGACTAGAATTAGTGCGGTCGAGAGACTAGACCACTACCCATTAGAGGACGAGGAGCGATTTTAAAGAGATCGACTGACTTTCACAAGCTTGTGACAGACGTATCGAATACTAATTACTATTGGTCTGCTGAGAAGTAAAGAATGATACTGCACTTTGTTAGGTGTAATATATCTAGACGTACTAATGAATGAAAAAGTAAGGTGTCGAAACGGCTTTCTGAATCTGGAGGATTTAGTGGTGTGATAGCCAATGTAAATATGATGGCCTAATTTCCTAAAAGAAACATGAATCAGTTTACCTACGTGTTTGTTTGAGCCTGAAGGATTTACAGAACACTATGATTCGTACCATAATAGAAAACCCAGAGCCCACTTAGTAACGACCGCGAAGAATGACATGATCTACTAATTTAATAGCATCTTTTCTAAGGGATGGAAATGCATGAATGCATATGAGCCTGTATGAATAAACCGCCTCCACATAGGGCCTGTGACTATTTTGAGGAGATTCATTACCACACGCTGATGAGCATAATGTTAGTAACTTATTGTAGATTCCTTGACATTAGTTGTTTTTCAGCCAGTTATACGTGTTAACACGCGCACAGGTACATCAACTCGTGCTGCCATTAGCACTGCGAGGTAAAATTACCGAGAAAAAACCCTGAGTAGTAGAATTACAAGTAACATTATTAGAAAGTTTTAACCACGGAAGTAATTATTTGAGAAAGGAGGATGAGTTCATGTATTTGAAAGTGTACAATAATTTTGAAACTCAAGAAATAAAAAATGAGGAAGCGTAAGTGTACGGACGTCATTACGTCCGATTCCAAGCTATACCACATAACACCCTCAGTTATTAGTTCCAATGATCCTTTGGACCCTAAAGAGGTGGGTCGCACATGTTTGTACTGGTCATTTTGACAGCCAATGAATTTATATTCAGTTTTGGCCTGTAAGTGACAAAGCAGATGGAAGTGAATATAAAATATTATGCGTTCACTGATGAAAAGAAAGAGAATATTCTTTTTCTACTAAGTTTATTTGAATCCCCAAAGAAATATATCAATCGCCTGAGTACATGAAAAATTAAGGCTAAATGAATTGTATGTTTACTAACCATCAAGTTAATAAAAACGAAACTCTACTGTATCAATTTTATTTAAAGTATTTCTGAATGAGATTCGAGAAATTTGTAACATTTACGATATTATTTTTTAAAAAGTCAGCAAAGAAAACACCTGTGACAACAAAATCAGAGTGCAACAAATAACAAGGAAGTTAACGGGAGCTAATCAGATCATATGTTGAACAGTTAAAATAAGGAAAACAAAAGAACTGAGATATTGTCACTTACTGTGACAATATGTGATCATGAAGCATTAGTTATTACCATTGGTAAAAGAGACAATAAATTTATTTTGGAAAGACTTATTTTTGCCAAATGAAGTTTTCATTTATAAAAAGATCAAATCATTTAGGGCGATCAATATTACCGGGTTGAAAGGAGGGGGAGGGATATTGATTTTAAAAAAACAGGGAAGCCACAAAATTATGCAACGATACTATCTAAAAACAATAGAAATTATAGTTACACAGTGAATAAATAAATTCTTTACCAAAAATATGAAAACAAGACAGAAAAAGACATCTATAAACTTGTACAGAATTAACAACACTGTACGGAAGTGGAGGGATGAGATATTGAAATACAATGATAATGAGACTTTAGAACACAGAGGGGAACCAAAGCAGTCAAATAGTTGAGGGATATACCATTTTAGCCACAATAAAGCCAATCCCGAAACTTAGAGCATTGTCTTTCAATAGATAGTTCTTTGGAGAAATGGTTGCGTAACAATACCTGTTTCCAGAAAGCTTTCTGAAAATCACATAATTTCAATCTCCAAAATGACTGAATCATACTTTCAACACTAGGACGTCCGTCGTTATATTCCGTGCCATGCATACTAACGTTGTCAGTTGAACTGGTCGAAGTATAATTATTAAGCCGTTCTATATTTTGTAATTCTTGTGTGAACAATTCAAGGAATAAACAATTGACAGAATCCAACATTTCTTCTTTATCTTCGTCTACACTTTCTACGATTACTCGTATTGTCTAAAAATATCAGTGATAAAAAAGGAAACTTGAAATACACATTAGAATGTTGCGAACATGAAGAATAAACAAATTAGTAAGATCATGAGTCAGTTGAAGCTAGACCACTATGGAAAACCTGGAAGCACTGGACGGCCCTGGGTTCGGATCCCGCGAGCGGGATCGTGGACGCACACTGCTGAGGAGTCACACAATAGGACGAAACGGCCATCCAGTGCTTTCAGGTTTTCCATGGTGGTCCAGCTTCAACTGAGTCATGATCTTAACCATTGAAATTACTACAATCTCCACAAAAACCCATCCGAAATTAGTAAGACTTAAAACATATTTCAGAGTGAAATTTCATTAGTTCATTATGAGATATACACACTTTGTCTACAGATCTTATTGTCTACGAAAACCCCGATAAAATAGTCAATGATTTAAATCAGTGTTTTACTGATTGAATACTGGGTAGATTGTAGATGTACAATCAAAATATTCTTGTCAATAGTTGACCAAGAAAATTCTCAGTCAGTCACAACGTAGAACCTGGTACGTACGTACACCATTCCAAGGATTCTATAACCATAGAATTTGAGAAAATGTTCCTCCGATTATTGATCATTTTTGAGTCTTCAATAGAGTAAAGAGAGTGTCATCTTCTATGAAGGCGTACATTCAATCTAACAAACGCATTGAGAAACTAAAAAGAACCAAAAAAACTTAGCATTGTTTCTCTATTTCATGGATAACTATGGTGCTTGTATGAACTAATGATTCCTTTGTGCTTGTTGACTATGATTTCGAATTCCAAATACAATACGTCTGTTCGTGCTCATCTAACACTCCTTGGTTAAAGTGCGTTATTTCTAAGATTCTCAGTTTGTACTATAATTCAAATACTCATAATCATAACAACAATTCCAAACCAAACAACTTTTCGCATTCATATAAAAAGAATTTACAGTCATCGCTGATTTTTTTTACAAAAAAAGTCTTCATAATAATACTTGACACGTATTGATAAAAGTACACACTAGAAATCATTAGACTGTACTTTTCCAAATTATTTTCTTTATGATAACCATATATCGTCACCACACACCAAAAAAATAACCTGAGCTCCTTGTTTAAAAAAACATATGAGACAATCAAACTTCAACTACATTTCTTATACGTTAGCACACAAAGTGAACGGTTGAAACTTTGAAAGTTCGAGAATGATCTCTTACCTCTGTTAAACATTGAAACTGATTATAATTCAGTGAAATCTGTTCACTTATATCTCTTGAACTGTATTTATTGCTGATGAAGCCTAAAGGATCAGGAATAACAATTGGAATTTCATGTGCAATTTCTAAAGTATATCCGGAAACATGACTTTTTGAAAATTCATCATTTTCATTATCAGCTGTGTGGTGTTGTTCTATAGACTCCTCAGCAATAATATCTGTACCGATCTCTACTGTATCGAAATCTGATTTAGAACAGATATGATAACTGTCAATACTTGTATCACAAGAAATAGAATTATTACTATCTTTTTTACAACTTTCAATATTGTTGAATGGCAGCATACCACCTAGTATATTCCACTTGGATTCATTTCCTTGTTCAGATGTAACCCAGTAAGGAGATCGATGTAATAAGAATAATAAACGTAGTTTTGTATTTAGATCATGACCACATATACTTTCCATTAACCAAACAAAACTCTAAACAAATAGAAAAGGGGAAATTGAAAAAGTTAGACATACGTCGCCTGAAAAACAAAGTAACTAAGTGAAAAACTAATATATTGGATTAGTAAGAAATCATCCAAACTATAAGTGCACATAGCTGTTCAAGGAATGAATTGCGTTCCTAAAGGATATATATATGTATACATTCGTGTATAGGAAAATTGAGTATCAGTATCAGAATCGGACACAGCCCAACACATAAACAAGAAATATCTAACCCACCACATAACTGATGAGGCCATAATAAAGTAAGACAAAGAATTTTTTCTAAAAAAACACTGGAACTAATGAAGAATCTCTTACATTTATCGTTAAATGTTAGAAAACGCTAGAATATTTGTCAATTTTTTATCTACGAAGATTGAACAAATACAAAAGTGAATTCAACTGTTAAAATGTTACAATCTCCACAAATCTCGTTACTGATAATTACAAAAGTGTCAAACTCCAAAATTCTATAGCCTACACATTGCTTTCAAGGTCCATATTTCATAGTCATGAAGTAATATAAAGGAAGCAGCTACAAAGTAAACAACCCCTTTGGTAGGTAGACAGATATCTCGCCTACGTTACAAGTGATGCAGGTTGGCAAACACCAACTGAGCCTTCTGAATTCATGGCCGGATTTCGTCGGATACAATCACACCACAGTTGGTGAAAATCCCTAAATAAGTAAAGTGGTTAAGTGCACTCAACTACCTCCTTCACCATCGTTAGTCTGGGCACTGATGTACATCAGACCTGAAACAACATTTTGGATTTAGATGAGAAGTGAGTCAAACATGCATGGATTGTTTCTCAAACAGGCCAGATGACTTTGCATTTTATAAACGTACTCTAAGTTGGTAAGTGAACCACTTGGTAGGAAATGAACGCCTGAAAAACTAGAGGGATGAAATGTCATATTTAGGACATATATGATGGGATTAAATAAAAAAGAGCAAGTGGACAACCATGACGAATACAGCTTGAAGTTGATAATTCTAGTGACAGTTCCTCATAAGCCCTGGCCGAACAAACAGTGTCTGAGTAGAGAGCCTTCATAAGTTCTATATAATTTCTTAGTATGGCACTATGATTCATAGAAAAATTTCTATACAGTTAGCTTTATTACGTTCGATTTTCCCAAAGGCTATATTCTAATTAGGTAATCGCAATCTCAACTGTAAAATGACATAAGGCCATCAGAAGAGAGTATAGTTTTATCAAAAATACTAATTAAAGGATAATTCAAATTTACTTATCTCATCTTCGTCAGATAAATTCATATACACATTTTTTCAATTTCTCACCTTAAAGTTAATTAGATTATCTTCATCTTGATCTAGTAGATGAAAGCATGGAAGGCCTAAACGTTCAGCTGCAGCACCCCATGGAACTAATCCCTGAAATAGACTATTAAATTGACGTGCGTCAATACGATGAACATCATAAGCTGGACGATTTGGATTATTTGTTTCATTATGAGTTTTAGCTGGCGCTATTTGATGGATTCGCTCATATTTCGAAAGAATATAATGGTCCTACAAAATAGAATTATTATCAAGGTGATTTTTCTCGAAAAAAACAGGAAGTACCTTTATATGTTTATTTATGATATAAATGCTACAATAACGTAATACGCGTTGCTGAATAAATATGTAAAACATTGGCATAAAACTAAATCAAGATGTATTGTTGTCAACTATTAAAAGACATCATAAATGTTCATGTGGAATATCATTTAAAGTTAAAGCAATTAAGAATTTTATGGGGTGGTTGGAGGTTGCCGACAGAAAGCTATAACATCATTTCTTTTACAATCGCCTTTCGGTATGCCATACCATACTACTCATTACTAGTAAGCAGTAGTACTACTATAAAGTAACGTGTAGATTTCATTTTAATCGAGAAAAAATTCACATAATTATAATCAAAATACCATCATGAACAAAGAAATACTGACGACAGAATGTAAATGTTCTAACACAAAGTTCATCTTTTGGTTCCAAAAAGATAATGATCAATGAAATATTCGATTTATATGCAGGCCGACAACAGGGGGATAGCTCAATTTACTGAGCTAGTTGTGCGACAGTTACAAAACATCAAGGCAGATAAACAGAATTACATAAGATATGAATTTTTAACTAACTGTTATAAGCAGCCAAACAAGTAAATCACTGAAGCGCAACGATATAATTTAGAATAAATCATTAAGCTTACACAACTGTTGACTGAAAAGTAAAACGTCAATTTTTTTCATTACGTAGGTTAACATATACTTTGATTTTGCAATGTGCTTTTAGTATAAGATTTTTGCAGTCGAATTAAGTGTACTTTCACATCGTGCTCCGTTTTAAGATACCATAGTTGTTTAATATTTAATGCCAATTTCAATGAAATCATAAGGCGATGGAAACTGAGAAGCACTGAACGGCCGTTTCGTCCTAGTATGGGACTCTTCAACAGTGCGCATCCACGATCCTGCACGCGCGAATTATGTACACTTTATTAAAAGTTAAAAATTGTTACTATTATTCTCCTGAAGGAACTTACTCTGTAACATTCAAAAAGCAAGATCAGATCCCCAGGACATTCACGATCTAAACTTCTTGCAACTTCTTTAGACGTGTAATCACTAAGTGATTGAATTACTTTAGGTCTATATTGTAAACGCATCTGATCGATAAGTTCATTTGTAATATTAAAATTCCGATCAGCTGAAGTCAACAGATTATATATAGATTCATTTGATGTATGATCTTGATGACGTAATTTATTAAAATATGCATTCAGTTTAGTTAAAACACTACTGTCATCGTTTTGTTCAACAGACTTCTTGATAAACGATGTATGCTGACGAAGTACATCTAATGCTATTTGGAAAATAACCTAGTGAGTGGTGAGAGAAGTGAAAGAAACGCCAGAAACAATAACAAAATGAACACTAAAATATACATACAACAAACGGAAATACTTTGAAGAGTACTAAGTTACTACGGGAGTATAAATGAATATGGATTGTATATTTGTTATAACACAAAACTACTGAACAGAGTGATGTTAACTAAAGAAATCAACGATATTTTTCATATTAATTAACCAAATAGTCAAATCCAGTTATTACACTAAATAAAAACAAGGGAATACTTTATATGATATCAATTGTTAGCAGATAATAACTATATAAGACCTAATTATTAAATGTATTACTTAGTGATAAATCTAAAGGAATTCATTTTCTCTTTGGATCATGTGAAGCTAATATAATATTGATTGTTAACCAATACTATGTCTGTCTATTGCATTGTAGTCACAAGTCTAATTGACCTGAGATATTAAATACACTATACTTTCAATTAATGACTGGGTTTTTTTTTCTGTCATAAGAATCCCATCACTCTTCGTGAAAAGTTTGATGTTTACATAATTTGATGTTCCCTTATGAGTACACATTAGATTCTAGCAAAATCATGATTTCTGAGATTTATTCCAGTCTGTGTATAGACTATAAATTTCGACTCTGATAAACAAAATCAATTGCTATGTGGAATTTATGGCATTTATCTACTGAGTGAGCTACATAGCGAATTAACTAAAGGCAGACTGAATGTCCATTGAGTTTCAGCTGAGTGTTACGAAGATAAAGCTCTACCAACAAGACTTGAAGGTCCTGAGCTCGATCGTTGTAAAAGTTGTGAGTTCACACTGATGAAAAGTTCTATATTAGGAAGAAATAGTAGTACAGTGTCCCCTGATTTTTGATGCTACCCTAACTGAATTCAATCTGTGAAATATACCACCAAGTAATTAGACAAATCTCCAAAAAATCTCTTCATCAAGAATAAGCAATCATCAATTCAATTGTGGCATTTGATGGATGACGATTCATATAACATTGGTTGGTTATTGTTTAGAACTACCGTAACATATAAGAACATAGTATTAAACCCTAGAATATGAGAAAAATAAACCTAGAACATTGACACCATTATAAGGAAACAAAACTAGAGGCTTTGAGAAGATGACAAATGATATTTAACAAGTATTACTGTAGTAAACATTAAACAAATAACTTACACGAGCTCCACCATAAAAGAAAAAATCCAAAACGTAAACAGCACAATGAAAGGACATAGTACTAACGAAAGAAAAAATCAGTAAAATGGAAGTTGGTCAGAAAAAAACTAATATAGAAATAAGAAAATATATTTAAAAGAAAACGTCAAAAATAAATAATTTTTATTAAAGTTAGATAGTGACTAGCAATGAGATCTAGGATATGAGCTCATTCTTATTTGAGATACGTTGGCTAAATGTACTTGCATCCAAGTGCTGATACTAAAAAGTCCTAAATACAACGAAACGTGCGTTCAGGATTTTACTACCAACCACTATTTGACTTCAAAAAGCAACTTGTGACTGAATGGTAATTTCAAGGCAATCCTCTCAGTATGTATACATGGTAACAGAGACTAGTCAGTTATAGTTTTAAACATGGCGGGAAAAAGAAAAACAAGTAAAAATAGTTATTTACAGGTTTAAGTTTGAAATTAAACGATGACCTTCAATTCACAAAAATTGTATAGCTCAAGTTATATTTGATGCTTATTAGAAATTCAAAAACCATATGAGAACTAGGAACAATTATCATCATGATTGTTATATTTTAACGAAGAATAAATAAATAGCAACTGTTAGGAGTTATGGTAAGATGCGGTCTGATTGGCTTGTATATAAACTGCATATGTCTAAAATACATGATTCATATAGCAGAGGCTAATATTGGTGTTCTGGACTGAACCGGCTGAATTAGATGAGAAGCCACTATCTCAGAGGACCAGTAAGAACTCAGAGTTGACTCTAAGCTGCTCGTACAGATTTACGCGTCATTGGTTTGGGCTCAGTGTCAATGTCAAATAAGCCGTGTTCTAATTGGCGATTTTGTCATATAATATATTAACAGCACATAAGGACATAACAATGACCACATGGTCTAATTATACTTTCCAAATATATTGAAGAGAAATGAAAATAATTAGTAGTGTAAAATAGTTAATATTATCTCATGAAAGCTTATCATATTGATTAAGAATGGTATTAATGAAAAAGAACTATTCCAGCCCATTTAGCTGGATAGTTTAATCAGAAAGGTTCTCTTTCCATCAAACCCCAGAAAGCGGGAGGCCAGCAAAAACAATTAGGTGACAGAACAAGTATCTATCTAACAAACAATTAAATTTAAGGTTAATGGAACAAGTTGTTAGTTGCATATAGAGATTTTCGAATAACTCACTCCTGTTTGAAGTTTGCGCTATTGATCTTGTCTAGAGAGATAATGAAAGCTAAACGAATGCTCTACTTCAATCAGAGAATAGAACTTCAGAATAATCTAACAAATATTAACTGTAAACGATACTTACTTTAAAAACAACGTCAAGAACCAGCTTAATGGTAGCATACTGATTAATTCTGAGCCTAATGACTGACACATATAATGATGATTGGAAGCTGTTGAAAAACCGCCAACCATTGATTCAATATTATATTCAGAAGTGACAATATTTTTCAAACTATCTTGTACTGGAATTTGTAAAACTGATTTTAATTCTGGAATATATTCAACGACTAAAGCATGAAGTACTTGTTGATCAACGCGTACACCAGCAACACGACTATCATAGTAATCAGGTAGTAAACGTTCACAGATTGCTGTCAATAACCAAAATGATTGTTCTTCTGTACAATACAGTAATAAAACACTGGCTACTATATTCATTGATTGACAGTATCCTGAAAAATAATTTATAAGAAATAAAGTATTTTATTTTTCGTATTGTACTAATAATGATGATTTTTAACAAAATCATATTGTGCAATTTATACAGTGAAAAACTCTTAATAAATAATAAGACATAAATACAGCCTATTATAAAGAATTAGCTTAAAAATTAATTATCCTTTTAATATTGTGTATCAAGCATTTCAAATTACTTGAAGTCGAAAAGATAAGTGATTCCGGTTAGATTTAATAAATTATAGACAGAAGACGTTTGTTACTTAGATACACGATCTAATATTTAGTTGTGGGCAATAGAGGTCTCCATAAATCTCTAAATCACCTCCCTTTGTAACTATGTAGATATTGAGGTACATTTACCTATTTCTGATTTATCTTAAATATCTACTTATGTATGTTAACTACATAATATTCTTATATACTTTTAATTAGGGCTTAAAACTGACAATAAATGTGGTAAAAGTATGATATGCGAACATCCTTGAGTTAAACGATCCAAATTACGATAACTCCTCATCGATTTTGCAAGAAATTCAAAGGGCAGTGATAGACAACTTGCATGATGTTATTAAATAGATGAAAGTTGACAATAACTGATTCTTAAAATGATCGAAGTCAATAAAAATATTTCTTGCGCAACGAAAACGTCAAGATATCGTTTAACCTAAATGACACAGCATAGATGCGCCTAAGGTGGATTGTGCGCCAAAATGCTTAATGTATAATCGAGATTGCTTAGTGAAGCTATATGATATTCTCACTCTTACTGTCAATCACAACCCTAAGTTTGTAAACAAAAGGGTGGCAAAGCATTGAATTAAAACTGATGTAAGTTTGTGATGAAAACACCAACCCCAATTTGTAAACCCAACTCAAAACTTCAACCTCATTCTTGATACCTAATCTTATTCTTTTACGTTATAACCGATGTCAGGTGATAATGAAAACTCTATGCAGTGATAACCCTAATACACAACAGTAGTTCGACTACTTATATGTAAACTTGGGATTTTTCCTTTAATACAAGGAATAATTTGACATGTGAGGGCTAATTATTCAAATCAAAGCTGTTATTCCACTGGTTTTCATTGTTAATTGTTTTATAATTAAGCGTTTCCTGATTGGCTGATAAGGCGTCCAAGGTTATCAGTAGATTATACTTTTACCATAAATATTGTACACCTCAAGTGGTGATATCGTTAAAAGTGATTTATATTTCCTTCCAGGTATGTCATTTAGGGAAACAGGATATAACCGAGTTGAAATTCGTAAATTCAAAAGGCTATACAGACAAGTCACAGTACGTTATCTAATACACATATCGGATGGTGGAACAAGGTGCAGGAATAGAACAAATCAAAAACTTATTTGAGCGCGAGCGGTAAGCGAGAGAGAGAGAGACTCTTAGCGTTTTACGGTTAAAATATTAATGTGGTGACAATTCTCTATTATTTTTCCAAAAACCCCACACCACGATGCCTATCTCACAACACCAGCACCAGCTAACGACGAGCGGAGCGCGGGAATGGAGGGAGAGTAAAATTTCTCTATCGTCCTCTCTCTCTATATATTAATTATTATTAGAAGGACCCTCCACTCGCACTCGCTGATATCCCTCTAGTACATCTACAAAACTAAAACTTCACGGATTTTCTCTCTACTCTCTCTCACTCAGTATTGAAATCTAACTAAATCGGGAAGATAACACACACACACACACACACACACACACACACACACACTAGACTTCTCTCTTCAACACAGCGAGAGGAGAGCGAGAGAGCGAGACCTTGAAAGTTTGGGCGTTTAAAATATAATATCACGATACTAGTTCAACTACCACTTCAACAAAGATCTAGGAACACACAGAAATCGCCACACATCTGCGAACACCATATAATCTTTTACACGATCGTATCTCTACAAAAGCACACATTAAAATCCCGCGAAAAGTCCAAGTTGAGAGTGAAGAAATCAGCCTCATATAGAAAGGTGTATTTTACTACCACTCACCAAACGACTGGATGCTAGTAGAAGAGAGTGTGAGGTGAGGAGACACTATGGATCCATATCTCCGAGAGCAGACTCAGCCACACACACACACATTGGCCTTATTATCTCTCTCTCTCATCTCTATGGGACAACAGCACACACACACACACACACAATACTATCACACACACACACTCAATACTTGTGTGTGTGATTTTATATAGATTTTAGTATTTAAATAAGGTGGTTTATTGTATATGGGTTGTATGTTTTTTTGAATCATCAGCTATATCTCTCCTCACAATACGATGATCATCTACTCTCTCTATATGTAGAGCTAACGCTCTAGGTATAGAGCGCTTAACTATCTATCTATACTCATATATATATATCTCTCTTATTGGTTTTTGTGAGGGGGATGGTGTGGAGGGGTGGAGGGTAGTGTAAAGACAATAGAAAAATGAGAGTAATATATTCAAAGGCAACATCGTAATCAAAAATACTTCTCTCTCTCAAAACACATGCGCTAAAACATATCATATTCAAGTTAAAAATATGCTACACAACACAATATCACATAACAAATATAACAAAACTCTCTGACAAACTATACACTAGCTGTATCTCGGTATATTGACATCTCTAATATAGTTATATACATTATTGGGGTTTGGGGAGTTTTGATAGTGGTTGATGGCAGTCCACCTAACCTAGGAGGGGGATGGTTTGGTGTGTGTAGGAGTTGGAGTTGTGGGGTTAGGAGAGTAGAGTTTCATAGAGTGCGAGTCTATATATACTCTCTATCTATATCTACTATGATTATGTTGATGTTTGGATGGGGTTTGGTTGATATATCTCTCTATATATATCATATGTAGCTTGTTTGTAGATTGGTAGAGGGAAGGTTTTAAGTGATTGATGTTTTTGGAGAAGAGTGAGCGTGTGAGCGTGGGGATTGAGAGTGCGCGGGAGTTATTTGAAGAGATATCTCTCTATCTAATCGAACATATATTTAGACTATTTACACACTTGAACACACACACAGTTGGAATGTGACAATGATCGTATAAAAGGTTTTGTTAGGGAGAGGGGTGGATATATACTCATCTATGATCACTGTGTGTGTGTGAATGAGAGAGAGTGTGTATAGTTGAAGATATCTTAGGTAGTTGGTGTGTGAGAGTGTAGGGATGAGAGTTGTATTTAATGATAAAATGGTGTTGGTGGGTGGTGAGAGTTATAGTTAGTGGGGGGGGGGGGCTTGTTGGTTGTGGCTTGGTGGGTTGTTGAGTGTGGGTATGGGGTTGGTATATGGGGGTATGGGGTGGGGTTTGTGTCTGGGATGGGGGGGGGGGGGGGGGTGGTGTGGTGTGTTTGAGTTGGTTTGTATTTTGTGGTTGAGGTGTGGGTATTTGTTTGTGGGGGGGGGTGTGTGGTTAGGAATGGTGTGGGGTTGTGGAGATTAGATTGGGTGGGTGGGGAGTGTTGGTGTGTGATTATGGGATGTAGGGGATGTGAGATTTATGTGGGGTATGATGGTGAGGTAGTGTGAGTATGGGTATATGAGTGTTGGGGATGGGGTGGTGTGGGTGGGGATGGGTTGTAGGTGTTGGTTAGTGGTTGGGTTATAGTGGGGTGGGTTGTTTTATGTTAGGTTTGTGGAGTGTGTTTGGTTTGGGGGGGGGGTGGTTGGGGGGGTGTATGGATGGGGTATTGGTGTGTGTGATATTGTATTGTTGTAGATGAGTTTGGGGTGTTGGGTTGGGGGTAGTGGTGGGGGGGTGTGTGTGGGTGGGTGGTTGAGGGTTGTGATTGTGGTTTTTGTGGTGGTTATTTGGTAGGTGGGGGGGTGGGGGGTGGGGGGGGGGTGGGGGTGTTGGGGGGGGGGGGTGTTGTGGGGTGGGTTGGTTGGTGGTGGGGGTGTGGGGTTGGGGGTTTTGGGTTTGTGGGTGGTGGTGGTTTGTGGGGGGTTGGGGGGGGTGGGGTGGGTGGGGGTTGGTGGGGGGTGGGGGGGGGGGGGAGGGGGTGGGGGGGGGGTTGGTGGTGGGGTGTTGGTTGTTTGTTGGGGGGGGTTGGGTGGTGGTTGTGGTGGGGTGGGTTGGGGGGGCGTGGGTTGGTTGGGTGTGATTGGGTGTGGTGTTTGATGTGGGTGTGTGGTTATTGGTGGGTGAGGGGGGGTGAGTGGGGGATGTGGGATAGGTGGTGTGGTGTGTTTTTTGTGGTGGGTGTTGGGGTGGGTTGTAGAAGGGTTTTGTGATTTTAAGTGTTGATTAGGTTTAATATTATTGTGGTAGCTGTGTGAGTGTGATGTAGTGTGGAATTTTGGATTTGGGTTTGTAGGGATTTTGTTTAATAATGTTTTAGTGTAAATTAAATATAATTAAAATTTTTTGTAAACATTAGTTAGGGCTGAGATTAGAAACGTAAAAAAAATTGGATGCCGGCCCTGTGATCTAAAGTTTAAGTGCTTGCTGAGAGACCTGAAGACCCTGTGTTCGATCCCCAGTAGAGCCATGGATACACACTGCTGAGTAGTCCCATAATAGGAGAAGACTCCTGTCCAGTGCTTCCTAGTTTTCAATGGCTGTCTAAGTAATGTCGGTCTGTAGAGTCAGTTGAAAACTCTACATTAACCAAAAAGTTTATTTCCCAAGGAGAGTATTAATAAGAATTACAATGATTTTCGTCATGTGATCGATAGTGAAGAACAATGATACGATTACTTCTCTTTTTTATAAATAAAAGATAATAAGCACACATGTAGGAAGAAGAAGAAGAAGTAGTTATGCCATTTTTATCTGAATAAACATGTGAAATACATATGTTGACATGGTATTTCATAGAGAACTACTTATTTATTTTTCACTGTATTTTAATTACTTAACCTAATAATCACTTGAAAAAGTTTTAAGAATACTTTAATGTATATTGAGTAACTCAAACGAAAAAAAAAATTCACATGAGAAAATTTTAAGTGACTTATAAATAAGTGGAAAGAGATTGAGAGGTAAAACTGGTATGATTTTTTTTAATGAATAAATAACAGATTCCACGGTTAATTTTATAGTAAATAGTATAGCGTTTAATAAAAATGTTTATTGTTCTCCCGATAATAAAATTTCACTTGTGAAATAAAATGTTCTTAACTAAAATATTCAAGATGACAGACTGATAGTATCCACATGTTTTATAACATAAAGAAGTGGATACGTTAAGTTCGAATTGGTAAACAACTATTTAAAGCAACTATTATCCAGGAACATAACTACAATAAAAATATATTTACTTTTTTTCAACAAGAAGAATTATTTTTTCAAACAAACAAAAAAAGCAAATGTTAATTTCACTACTGATCTGTTTACCTTATGTTTTAACTGCTAGAAAAGACTTAATAAATGTCAATTTCTTGCTCAGTTTGTAGTATTTCATCGTAAAGACAGTTCGAGATATGAAAATGAATAAATAAATGCTATATGACATGTTGTAACACATGTACTTTTACCTAAACAAGTAATCTATTAGGTAACGGAAACCCCCTATAAACTGAAAGGTAAGGTTTCTTAACGATCTGTTCAATAATATGGATTAGTGTATCATCATACTTGATCATATGGCTTGATTACATTTCCATACGTATAGGTGTCCACACACATATAAGAAATTTTATCGAAACGCCAGCAACACCATACAGTCACATTAACTTAATAACAAGTATAAAAATAAGAGTCTAAAATGACTAAATGACATTCATTAAATAAGAGGGTAGGAGTTTAGAAAAATTTGTAAACTTTGTTACCTCATTTTCAGCTCCACTTAAAATCATCCATAAAATTCCTCGTTTTCCTTCAGGTAATCCATTTAAAACAAGGTGTTTAAGACGTTCATTCCGATACATTGACATGCCAGACCCAAACTCTTCAAAATATTCCTTCCAATCATCTAAACGTTTATTTTCAGCATCAGGATTATCTACGCTGAAAGGATTATTATAAGAATAACGACTAGCGAAGCATCCGGATCCATCTAATTGACAAACACAAAGATAATAGTTCAATGAAAAAAGAGGATTCAAAAAATAACAGGAACAACTTAAAATGACGACGGCACTAAACACTTTTTGAAAAGGACACAATGATTTCAAGTGCAGAACATAATATTGGTTGTTCATATATATATTCCAAACATAAGTTACATGTAGTTTGAATAGAATAGTTATCGCTAAACGTATTAAACTAGAACTCCAAAAAAATATCGGATTATTCAGTGCTGAATAAAAACTACATTAAGCTAATAGGTACAGAACCTAAATTAACAACTATGCAGAGATAATCTTTAATTGTTTGACACTAAACAAATAAATATAAATGAACATTTATAATCTTTGTGACAAATGTTTTATTAAACAGTTTATGAACTGTATCTTATCGAATAATTTATTCGCTTCCTTTTACATCTAAATGTTACATTCCTTTCTGAATCAACTTGATGACTGGTAACCATTCTATATACATGTCAAGCAGTGTGATAGGATAAGTTTACTGTTTACTAAAAGTAAAAACTGCTATCAACAAACACATAAAGCAATAGAGTTCTGCAAATTTTCATTTATATGTACCCATTATAAGAGATTTTAGAATATGTATGTTTGTAATGATAGAACACAAATAACGAGGATAGCTATAAACTTAAAATCGATTGTAGCTAACATACTCTAATCTTATAAAATGATCAGTAAATCCAGGTTATCACAACAAAAGCTATACGTGCACAAACTTATTGATTGGTATAATTCACTACAAAATATCACCTGATCATATATTTTGAATAACTGTTTCAATTAACATATGTCAATAAAACTGTAGTTCTTCACAGTATAATTGTGATTACAAGTCCCTTTAAGAGGATCAATATTTCAGACCATATATCTGCATACAACGGAAAAGTGTTTAATATTAATTAAACGTGATGACTTGATAGAACTTAAATAAGAGATAATGTGACTGGCAGTTCAGCTATCAAGTTATATATAGATTTGTGACGATATCATGTATAAACTTTCGTAGATAATCGTCAAAAGTCATTTCTTAAAATGATCGTACCGCCCTCCATCCTAATTTTTTGTAGTACAAAATTACTGAGTACTAGTGAGTTTGCCGAATGCTTAATCAAAGATAACCCGAAAATTAAAAACTTTATTTGTTGTAAAGTGTACTGACCAATAGAAATTTTGAAAGACTTGTCCTTTAGACTTCTTATTTATAATCAGTAAAGAATAGATGGAATATGACTAGTAGTGAAATCGAGGACAAGCGTTTCGTCCTATACGAGGGACTTCTTAGTTGGATGCACCTGTATAAGAAGAGATCAAAATCGTCCAGTGACAACCATAAAGGGATTAGTTTAACTAGTATAGCATATAAAATGCTGGCCTAAATAATTATCAGGAGACTAAGACTCGTGAACTGCAAACACATGAAAATCAGGCTGGCTTCAGACCTGGTCGTGGCTGCATTGACCATATATTCACCATTCGTCAGGTTCTAGAACACAGGCATACTTATCGGCGTCCGACAATGGTGGTCTCTCTTGACCCAAAATCAGCATTTGACTCTGTAGACCGAGAGGTTCTGTGGCAGTGTGTCATTGAAAGGCGTACCCCAGAAGTACATAAACCTTGTAAAGGCTCTTTACTCGAACACTACTAATCAAGTCAGAGCTTATGGCGAACTGTCATCTACTTTTGCAACCTCAAGTGGTGTCCGTCAAGGCTGTCCACTTTCTCCATTTTTGTTTAACTTCATCATAGACCTACTGCTGGAAATAACATTCTCGTCGACTGAATTCTCGGGTATTGAGTTCCTCCCAGGAGGCCCACTTATCGACTTAGAATACGCAGATGGCACAGTCCTGTTTGGTGAAGACGCTGATAAAATGTAGTCTTCAGGTAGCACTGAGCAACAATGCCATGATGTTTGGGATGCGCTTCTCCCCCTCTAAATGCAACTTGTTGCTTCAGGACTGGCCTGCGTCAAGACCTGAACTAAGGATAGGGAGTGAAGTAGTCGAATGCGTTGACAACTTCACTTATCTTGGAAGTCTGATCAGCCCTAATGGGTTGGTGTCTGACGAAATCTCAGTACAGATGCAAAAAGCTCGTCCGGCCTTTGCCAACTTACGTCACCTATGGCGAAGGCGAGATATCCGTCTACCAACCAAACGACGTGTTCACTGCGCAGCAGTTCGTTCCGTCCTACTTTAAGGCTGCGAAACGTGACCATTAAGAGTAGAAGATACTCGCAAGTTACTAGTATTTGACCACAGATGCCTTAGAAATATTGCTCGCATATTCGGGGATCACCGGGTAAGTAATAGTGAGGTTAGACACAGGGTATTAGGGAATGATGGTCAATCAGTTGATGAGGTTGTGAATCTTTATCGAACGAGATGGTTCGGTCACGTGTTACGTATGCCTGAACACCGACTACCATGACGCGCAATGCTAACTGGTTTTGGGGATGGCTGGAAGAAAGTTAGAGACGGCCAAACCAAAACGTGGCATCAGTACTTGAAGTCAATAACTTCTGGTCTGAGCCATGTTGGTAGATACAGACTACTTGGTTGGGGTCCACGTGACCATCGTAACCAATGGTTACAGACTCTTGGTGACATGGCTCAGAATCGATCACAATGGCGTCGGTGTACACACTCTCTGCCTTCCCTTAAACTAAGAGATTAAAATCGTTTCATATCTTTCTATGAACTAATTCTTTCTTCCTGTACTATATCCTTATATGCAATCTTTCCTTTATATATTACACCATTGACTTAACTACTCCCATGAATTTGGTGTTTATCTTGCTGTGCTAATGAGGTGTGGCAACTTGGACCGATGCACATATGTGCCTGGTCCTACGTTGTAATTGACTGACTGTACCTGTATTCCAGAATTGATGTTCACTCCAGGACTTGAACTCAGCAGTGTACGCTTCAAATGGCATCGCGTTGTTCACTTAGCTACTAAGTCTAGAAAGCCATTTAATCGTGAATTTGATACTAATCATATTTCAAATCGAATTATTGTAAGTTTTATTTAATGTACTATTTGACTATAAGTAGCTTGTTAAGTATTAATAAATCCATATAAGTAAAGTAGCATAAATGTTTATACCAAGGTTAAGCGCAACATTATCACTAAATTCTTTGTTTGTTAATTACTACCCAAAAATTGAATATCAATCGCTAATGTAATCTAAGCAATGATGAATTATTTAAGGCGGATTATCAAAATACACTTAAATTTACCAAGTATGATAAATGTCAACAACCAACTGAAAATATTATAACAAGTTCATTACAAAACTAACTGTAAATTATTTGACTGACTACTTATTATAAAACAGAACAAAATATAGGCCAAAAAGCGACAGTGAATAAATTCACTGATTAGATATTTTACTATTTGAATGATGAACTATTATGATGAACTACTATAGTAAAGTGTTAGTTGTCGTTTAAGATATATGGTTTATTATAAACCATAAATACAGTGTCCAGGTTAATCATTCACAACTTACTTGAAAAATTTAACTGACTAGTAGTATTTGATGAACTAATAACTGTTAGACTATCGTTAAATGAACTTGCTATTGAAGTTATGACATCTGAAGGTTCAGATTTAGTGCTGAAATGAATAAAAGCAAACAACTATTATGATTTATAAAAATAGTAGATAAAATACATTATAATGAAGCTTCACCGGTGAGATAGTAGTGGACTACTCAATTTCGTACGAAATTCAAGGCGCTGTGACAGATAGCTTGTGTCTTAATGAAATTTAGGTAAATTCTATCAGTATTAGGGCTATTAAATTAATTAACATTGGTAAATATAAGAGGAACAAAGAATAGGGATTGTGACCTATAGCTTTAACTCAAAGTTTATTGTTACCAAAAATCAAGGAACTAACTACATAAGTATTTATTCATAAGGGTTACAAAGCACTTGTCTACTCGATTTCTTATAATTGCTCCTAACAGCTAACACTATATTTCAATTTTTAAGTCTAACTGAAACTCCCAATCCTAAATCCGAATGAAACTCTTAACCCAAAATCTCTGACAGAACTCTCAGTCCCTACTGGATTTCATGTAAGAAATTAGTTATTTATATCACCTGTTTTCTTGTTGACTAAAAATCGGCTTTACCCTCTCAAGGTCATTTACGAGCCTCTGAAAATTTATAAGGTTCCCAGCTACAGCATAAAGCCATGTAGTCTGCACACTGATTCTTTAGACTTTAGGAGGTAAGTAAACAATATCTGGTAGCTCTGATTCGTCATTTTTATCAGCCTTCCTTTCTTTTTTTGTTTTGTTTATCTTAGCTTACTGCTATTGATGATTTTTTCTTTGTTTAGTTTTTTTTCGTCTATCGATTTCTTCAGGGTCAGCTAACTCAACTGATACGACTTGAACGGATTCATTTACCAGTCAGGTTAAAATGAAGTACAGTTAAAAAAACGTAAGATATTTCAAGGCCTGCTGAGTTTATAACTAAGAATAAAACACAAACTCAAGTGCACATTACAAACTGATTGTACACTTTATTTAAACAAATATAACTGCAAACTTGTTAAAATAATATAATAATTAGGTTTTCATAAGAAATGCCTTATGTTAAGTATTAAGATAACTTAAATGTATTAAATTTCAATAAACACCTTTTTCTTTTTACCCTATCAGCACATTTTTACCAGACACTTTGTGAATTTTTTGCTGAAAAAATATTTTCAAACTAAAAAACCTCTGAATTGAAACGATGATCTTACTATCCAAGAGTCAGTCGAAAACAGAAAGAAAATCCCTACTTAAAAAGAACTATGACTTATGAACGTACGCATTTGAGACTAAGAGAAAAAGTGAATAAAACCATTGACTGAACTGTATAATAATTGCGCAAAATTATAAATTACTAAATGTTTAAACAATGTTATCTAATAAACTGTATTCTAGTGATAAGAGATGATTATGAAAGCTTAAAATAAGAGAAATTTGACAAGCATAGTTTTGAAATTCTGAAACTAAGAACTATAAATCCATTGCTTCGTGGTGTTCTTTCAACTGTGTATAAATACTGTTAGGATAACAAGGTTCTGCAATATTGTGGTTAGTAAGAATTAATACAACTTCATCAAGATATAATCTTATACTACTAAACGAGACTGATCAATCGCAGTCTTAAACATCAATGGAACGATCCAAACGACTATATATGAATTAGAATTCACATCATTGTACAAGCCAGTAGCTAAATGCTTTTAATTGTGACACAAAAAAAACTACACAAATAATGCCTACCCTCTTGATACTTCCAAATTATTGCCAATTTTCTTTAGAATATCCTCCGATCCGACAATACCAGTAAATATATAAACAAGCTAAAAAAAGACAGTAAAGATAATTTAAACGAGACTTATTAAACATAAAAAGTTATGAGTCATTAATTAATAATTAACTGATGGGTTTACCAGATACTTGGAGGAAAGCAAGGGGTGGCCAAACCAAAACGTGGCATCAGTACTTGAAGTCAATAACTTCTGGTCTGAGCCATGTTGGTAGATACAGACTACTTGGTTGGGGTCCACGTGACCATCGTAACCAATGGTTAGAGACTCTTGGTGACATGGCTCAGAATCGATCACAATGGAGTCGGTGTGCACACTCTCTGTCTTCCCTTAAACTATGAGACTAAAATTATTTCATATCTTTCTTTCTACGAAATAACTTTTTTTCCTGTGCTATATTTATTTATTATTATTTATTTGGACACATGAATATTGGTACAAGAGAGCGCCAATATATATGCGCCACACAAAACAATGAAAATTCGAGAGGAATACAAAGAAAGAAAAAAAAAGCTAAGGAGCGCAACAAAAAAGAGAGAGAACAATAACGAAGAGATTGGTGTAAGGTAATGTGCTAGTAATCAGGGAACGCAAAGGTACAATCGGAAGAAATCTTTCAGGTAAGGGAGACAGAACCACTTTTTATGAAGAAAGTAAAAGAAGGTTACAGCAGGATCGCTACTGGCTTCTATTCTGAGCCATATCTGATAACGTCTCTAGCCACTGTGTAGCACCATCTCTCAGACCCCAACCAGGGAGTCGTGAAGGACCAACACAAGCCAGTCCTTTGCAGCTTTCTTTCATGCCACGACACCATGTCATGCACTGACCACCTCTCCGCTTCTTCCAACCAGTCCCAGAGTCGGCAAATAATGCACGACGTGGAATCCTCTGGGACGACATTCGGAGAACATGTCCAAGCCACCGAAGTCGGTGTTTCAAGATGGTGACACCAATTGAATTATCATCTCTGTGCCCGAACACACGATGCCGAGCCTCTGCATTACTGACATGGTGTTGCCACTGAATGTCAGCAATCCTTCGGAGACAGCGATGATCGAACACAGAGAGTCGTCTAACGTTCTCAACTCGGAGAGGCCAAATTTCACAAGCATAGAGCAAAACTGCTCTCACCGACGCGTTGTAGATCCGACCTTTTACGGCCAGACTAACATCACGAAGGCGCCATAGATGGCCCAGATTGGCATAAGCCGCTCTGGCTTTCACTATACGTGCATTGATCTCATCACTCACACCCCCACCAGCACTTATGCAGCTACCCAGATACACGAACTTCTCGACTACGTCTATCTGCTCACCATCCAGGGTGAGTACAGGATTGGAATCCTGCCAGTCTTGTAGGAGTACTTTGCACTTCGAAGGTGCAAAGCACATACCATACCTACGGACACTGATTGCCAACTGATTAAGTGCGGATTGCATGCCTTGGGCATTATCGCACAGTAAGACAATATCGTCCGCATACTCAAGGTCGAGAAGTCTTTCTCCAGGCAACAGATCCACACCACCATTACTTACATTCATCAGAGCTGTTTCCAGAATGTCATCGATGGCAAAGTTGAAGAGGAATGGTGAGATTGGGCAACCCTGCCTAACGCCACTACTCGAATGGAACAATGGAGAAAGGTGGTTGTATGCCCTCACTCTGCCTGAGGTGTTTTTATATAGGGCTTTTAGGATGTTAATAAACTTCTCAGGCACACCCTTCTTCAATAGACAATCCCAGAGAACAGTCCTATCCAACGAATCGAAGGCAGCCCTGATGTCAAGAAACACTACGATTGTTGGCCTTTGATAAGTATGGCGGTGTTCTAACATTTGGCGGAGGGTGAAGATATGATCAATACATTCTCGACCAGAACGAAACCCAGCCTGCTCCTCGCGAGTCAATCTTTCTCGGGTTTTGAACAACCTACGAAGTATGACGGAAGCCAATAGCTTGGACGCAATCGGAAGTAGACTTATCCCCCGATAGTTGTTACAGGAACGACGTGAACCCTTTTTAAAGACAGGGACAACTATCGACTCATTCCATGACGTTGGCACACTCTCTAGTTCCCAAACCTTTGTGAACAACGTCGTCAATTCCTTAGTCAAAAAGTCCCCACCATCTTTAAAAAGAGCCGGAGGTAAGTCATCTGGGCCAGGTGATTTGTATCGCTTCAAGAGTTGGAGTTCCTTGCGGACTTCCTCCTCGTTTGGTGGATCAGTCGTCACCGGCCATGGAGGGCAGGACAGTCTGACTGATGTTGCCGGAGCAGCAGGCCAGTTGAACTGCCCTTCGAAAAATTCTGCCCACCGTCCAAGACGTCGATGGATGTTAGTGATTGGCATCCCATCATCCTCGCAGATTGTTTCACTCACACCAGACTTCTTGCTGCCAGTGGCTCGGATGAGCTGGAAGAGCTTCCGGTAATTACCAGATGCAGCTGCTGCTTCCAGCTCATTAGCACGCTTCGACCACCAGGCTTCTCGGTCCTTACGCAAGCTTTGCCCGATTTCCTTACATAACATCCTTCGTTTATGGTCAAACTCACGGTCACCCGGAGTAGACCGACGGGCTTCAATGAGTTGTAAGGAACCAGAAGAAACCCAGTGCTTAAAAGCGGGACGTTTCGCAAACCCACAACTGACTGTTCCTGCCATTTTCATGGCGTCATGCAATTGCAACCAATGCTCATCTATACTTTTCGGTGGAGTGGTAGCTAGCCTAGAGGCTAGCTCGGTTCGATACTTATTTGCAACAGAAGTTGCAACCAGCTTGCTAACATCAATCTTTTGGTGGTGGTCACTTCGTTGTCCACTGAAAAGTAAGGCAAGATTGGCGCAGACCAAGGCATGGTCAGAGTCCAGATAGGTACTCCAAAAGGAGCGGCAGTCTTTTACACAACCACGCCAGCGGTAGCTGATCGCGATGTGATCAATCTGAGTCCAGGCTTGGGATGCAGAGGGAGGACGCCAGGTGGCACATCGGCGATGACTGTGCCGAAAGTTAGTGCTAGCCAGAAACAGGTTGTGGTCTGTGCACAGTTGCAGTAGACGGTCCCCGTTATCTGACCTGCGACCAACAAGTCCCCATCGGCCACCTAAACGACTCTCTTCTGTGCCTAGACGCCCGACCTGAGCATTCAAGTCTCCGGCTAGTACTACAATATCTGTCGAACGCACTTTCTGGAGAAGAACAGATAACTGGTGATAAAACTCATCCTTGATTGCATCCGGGCTGCAATCTGTCGGGGCATAGGCGGAGATGACGAAAAGACATCGTTTCTCACGCCGATTTCTTCTCACTTTGATGGAACTTTCTAATCTAACAGCACATAACGGACTGTTAATGGGGATCCAATCGACTAGTGCTGCCTCAGCTCTAGCGCTTAGTGCGACACCAACGCCTGCAAGACCAGACGAAGATGCCACAGGGTCCCCGGATAAGCGCACGTAAAACAAGCTTTTTGAAGTGACAGATGGAGATCGAATTTGTAGTACTTTGCCAGAGTCTTGAATACGGGTCTCGGATAGACAACAAACATCAATATTAAGACTTTCCAAAGACATAGCCAGCCCTATCTGTTGACCAACCTGCATAAGTGTGCGAACGTTGAAGGCAGCCAGTTTGAATGGCGCACGTGGTTTCAGAAAAACTGCTTCAGTACTCATATTCGGTGGTAACATACAATTTTCAACCGGGCAGTGACTCGAGAACGTTTAGGTACAGTTGGATTTCCACCAAAGACGAGCCGCTGTATAAGTATAAATGAGGGTGAATAATGTGGAAAATAATAATAATAATAATAATAATAATAATAATAACGACAATAATAATAATAATAATAGTATTAATAATGACAATAATTGTAATGATAATTATTTGAATCGACTGACTGTTTTTCGGAGCGAGAAAAGTGGTTGCCATAGACATAGAGTTCATCGTTTGTGTGTGGGCTGCGATACTGCCCGGGTGCCCAAACCGAAGCAGGTGGTTATCTTAGGGGGCCACCCCTCGAGCCTTTGACCCAAAGGTCTAACCCACAAGGCAGTGGAGCATCGTAAGGAGATGCAATCCCATGGTAGCCGGTGACCAAAGATTGATTCATACGCCATTTGTTCCCGCAGGATACTGGAGCCCATGTGCACCATTGGTTTGGGATCCGGTTAAAGCGCCGGACATTCGCTTTTCGTCCTCTCATTTTCGTAAACAACACCCCCGCCACGAAAAGGCAATGAGTAGGACTTCCCTGGCAGAGGCTGTATACGCGCGGCCGTGTGAGAGTATTTCGAGAGGGAGAGCGGACTCACCCCACTCTCGGCCGTACCAGGGCATTCGGGGGCTATATCCTTATATGCAATCTTTCCTTTATATATTATACCATTGAGTTAATTGCTTCTATGAATTTGATGTTCATTTTTCTGTACTAATGAGGTGTGGCAACTTGGACCGATGCACATATGTGCCTGGTCCTACGTTGTAGCTGACTGACTGAATATAGGGCCACACCTTAGATGAAAGGGCTAATGATACCACCCTGTTTCCTAAACCGAAGTAGGGTTTGGAACTGAACTCTAGTGGTTAAAAGTCGGACACCCTGACCGATAAGTCACTACTGCACCTGGGTTGATTAAAAAATCATGAATATGACTCAGTGATCAAATGAAGATGTTTTGTCTTAAGCAGCATTTATCGTGTAACAACTAATGATACTAATCAGTTACCAAAAAAGGAAATGGAATTTAAATCTGTTGGGTGAGAACAGAGTTCTTTAACCAAAAAACAAGTTTCTCGTTTTAAAAAACTTAAAATGGTTCTAATTCGTTCAGTGAAAAATACTTGATAAGTATATATTTATGTGCTTCACACTGTTTGTGTGAGATCTAATGAACCGATACAGATCTCCAAACCCAGGTAGGTGGAGAAGAGTTCGTACGCCCGGAAAGTATCACAGCTCTCACACAAATCAATGATAACTACTGCTGGCCTCACTGCTATTGTGTGGCGTAAATTTACTTGGAGTCCCCTTGTACCAATGTTTATGTATTCAAATAAATAAATAGCCCGGATTTGAGACCTTACAGTCTGAAGCCAAATAGTAGAAATTCCTTTATCAGCTAGAAACATTATAAAGTCGTCCAAATATAGACGTAACCAAAGTACCCCCGATAAACTGAACATGAGGTAATGAGAAAAATCTATACCGTTACTTTTGAAACTTTATCTACATACAGTCATTTCTCCCAAACAGCAGCGTAAAATATCTACGTTATACAGCCTTAACTGAATGAGTAAGACATGCAGTTCTGTGGACAGGTATTTTATAGACTGAACAAATAGGTCTCGGAGAACAGTATTGTGATAGTGTGCCCTAAGATTCGTTTTGTTTGGTTTTATAAATTTAAATTAAGTGCTGAAAAGTATCAGGTACAATAATATCTCAAATAAACCTTCCAAGTGTATTTAAAATCAGTGCAAGATATGAATCGACCAACCCTATCATCATCAATCATTTATGGAACATTACCAGATTAATTTCATACTGTTCTGAGAAACTGGTTCGATTTTAAGGTGGTTCGATAGACAGAAATAAACAAATCAACTACCATGAATGTGAATTAATCAGAATTGTTATATTTTCCACCAAAAGAGACGAATGGGAAATTACCGGCCAGAAAGACAAAGAGAAAGTCATTATGACCGACAGTAGTGAAAAGCCACAATTAGGAAAGTGATAAGTTAGGATAAGAAAGTTAATTCACGGGTTTTCTCTGACTAAATATAACATTTCATAACACTAGTTTTATTCCCAGTGCAACAGTCAGACATTGTTTTTATTCACAATATAACATTTTATTTAGTGTAGCATCGGTTTTAGTATCAGTATAACATGTTTGTCAGTAAGACATTGGGGTCATAGATTTTAATGAATTTCTAGGCGATATCAGTTCATAGTGAGAACCATCTTCAAAAAGCTTATAACAGGAGACAAAAATTGACGTCGTAATGGTCTTTGTTGCAAGTGAATGGGTGTATAAAAACTATTGAGTGCTATCTCATTGATCAGGACGCCAGAAAATCACCATTTACATTAACATTTAAACAGTAACTAACTTTATCAGCTGTTATTATGATGACTCCTCCTGTGGAAGTTGAATCCCTTTGTGGAAATTCTTCGGCTGAAATTATTTCACGTAGAGGAAGAATAATCTTAGTGCTTTCACCCTGTACATTTTAAATTATAACAATACAACAGTTACTAAAAACATGAACTAAAATTTACATTTGCTAAAGACTGATATTAGAATGCATAGAAGAAAATATGAGCGAAAAAAACACTTCTTGAATATATCCAGAAAAATGTAGAACATTTGTTTACTTCTATCTGAAGTTTGTGGTGATGATGTCGTTCAGAAGAACGATGAAAGCTCCACGACCAAACCATCCAGCTCAGAGAACAAAACTCCGTCAAAATCATCCATCTGAGCTACAAATCTTCTCCAACATTTGTTTACCTAGAAACTCGTGATACCAACTAGCCATATGTTATAATCCCCCCCCAGGTTTCGTTAAGTAATAAATAAGCCAAAACGCTCTAATAATATACTTATCGAATTAAATTGACTGTAGTTTATCACAAACAGACAAAAAGACTTATAATGTTCGAACTCCATTAATATAAAGTACTGAGGAAATAATTGCAATATAATGTTTTAACATCATGATTGATAGGTAAAACAACATAAAGCTAAAGAGCTATAAAATAGTAACAATGTGAATAGCACGGTATTGCAATCACAGTTGAAAAAACAGACATAGCTTTCTCTTAAATCTAATATTCATGTTCTTTTGATTACTGTAATTATGTATCAGTTGGATTATTCAGGGGTTACAAATTTCTTAGTCATGAACATAAATTTCTACTAATAACCTATCAAACATTTGGGCGATAAGAAATATTCCAAGAGTAAATTGGAAGACATAACTTTTTATAGGGATGGGATTTTATTAGTTATATTTCTGTAAGTGATGCCAATAAATAGTGATAAAAGTTGAACAATTAGTAAAACTTAGGACGTATAAGAAAGTTGTTTCATGCTATCCAGAAATCCCTTGTGATTTCTAGCATCAACTACGTATTCTTTAGTGAAAGCAACACACATGTCATCCAAAGATATGATTAACCAAACAATGAGTTGGTACAAGTTTCAATCTATTCGGTTTTTCAAATATGAATTTGTATTTTAAAGGCCAATATCTTTCAAGGAGTTAGACAGTTTGGGATCTAATCTAGAAAGGATGCCATGGTTAAAAACTGCTGATGAGTTCTGTAATAAGAGATTAAAAGCAAATTCTTAGTATTCAGTGGTTTATAATAATTATTTCTCTAGTGCCTATTCACGAAAATAAATCAGCTAAAACTTTATAAGAAGTCCACAATTTATCACGTCAAAATGAATTACGAATGCCAGCATTTTTACAAAAACGGGAATGAACTAAAACAGATCACACAGATATTGACCTAATCTCTTTATCATTGTAGGCAATAAAGCATCATTGTTTAGAGTATAATAAGTGTCAAAGAGGAAACAAATACATAATTCAGTGATAGATTACACTTTTCAGTCAAGTCAGCTGGTTTCTCAATTTTGCAAATGATGATATTCACATTAGACCACTGATTAACTGCTAGCATAATTCATTCAAATTTACAGTTGATTGAACATCTGAAATGATATGTCAGTTATTATGATTACGAATGTCGTTTAGTTATCAACTAATGAATACAACAGTCTTCTGCAGTTTTTTCCTTGTGTCTTGTCCCATTGTAGTCAATAGTAGGTAGCAGGTAGTAGCTATTCCACAGTCATGGTAGACAGTTGTATCAGTATCAGGAATCACTATTTGATTCAGGTAATTACACTGTTCCAAATCATTACAAAACGTCTAATCAATTGAAAATTCACTGAACAAATAAATAAACTAACCGACGAACAGTAACAAATAAATTGAGGAGATAAAAACATTTTCCCAGAAATAGTTTCAGTATTATCCAACCGTTGCAGTTTACAATCAAAACAAGTTTCTATAATTTCACATGCAGGTAAATGAAACGAATCTTGAAAATGTTGACTACGGATTAGTACATCCAACTTATCCAGTAAATTGGACGAGTTCTGAGTAAGTAAACTGATAAAAAAGAAAGAGGGAACATAGATACTTGTGACTAAGTGATTTGATGAGAAAATGATAAAATTTAGCATTTGTTACTTTGGCTTAGTTAAGATAGAAATTTCAAAGAATTTTTCACCTGAATACTATACTTAAGAAACTATTGAAAAGTTGAGAAGTTCTGTTGTATTTTTCTAACTTATCAAAGTTGAATTGTGGGTAGCAGTAGAATACAGGAAGCACGTCTCATTAGTCGAACGTACTTGCATTCCGGTTTTAATGTTCAGTTCGAGATTCGAACACAGGACTTTTAGCTTTAAATGATTATAAATTGAAAACTAATTCGCACACATTACATCATTCAGGTAGGCATATTTATTGAAAGTTCAGCACAGCTAAAAACCAGTCACATAGAGCTTCCTTGTGAACATTTGTTTACGGTCAACCGGATTCACTTCAGTACTTTTTTAAACCTTAACATTAACGTGTACTAACTTTGGGAAAGACATTTTCGAACCTAACCTTATGTTTATAAGAATCAAGAATAGGCCGAATTTGTGAATATTCGTTATCCATATCCAGTTATGCTATTTTCCTAATCCACTTTCTTAGTATTATAAGACTTCATCGAACATATGTCGTGGCCAATACAATATGGTTGAGTCTTTAGGATGGGTAGATGGAACATTATATTAGAGCAGAAGTAACAATACCATTTTACAACAGACTAATCACTGAACTAGCATCTCAGAAGTAGCATTCCCGACCCACATATCTAGTAGAATACCTGGAACTTTGAGTTGCAATACAGTTCCTGAAACAGCAGATATGCAGTGTTGATGAAAACATCAAAGTGTACTTGAATAACTGAAGATACTTGGATTCATTTTGAAAAGTAAGCTTGAACTTATCCTCACCATCATATACTGAAATAACTTCAAGTAATTACTAATATCCGCACAAATCGTAACTTATAAAATTACATGCATAATAGAAATCGATTAAGAGGGAGACATAGTAGTCAGTCAGTCAGTCAGTAACAACGTAGAACTTCGTACGTACGTACATCAGTTCGAGTTGCCACACCACATTAGCACAGAGAAGCAGTTGTCGATTCAAATCCCATAGTGGTAGAGGTAATAAGAGTATAAGCAGTAATCGGGAAGATTAGGGTTTGGAGATGTTATTTATAGAGTATAATCCAGTGAAATAAATTTGGAAAGAGGAAAAAAGGGGCATGAAGAATTCAGAAGATTAGAATTTGAGAGAACACAGAGAGTGGATGCACCTGCGCCATTGCAATCGATTTTGAGCCATGTCATTCAGGGTCTCTAACCATAGGTTGCTATCATCTCGCGGTCCCCAACCAGGTAGTCTACACCTACCAACATGACTCAGTTCACTTGTCAGTGACTTCATGGACTTGTGCCATGTTTTGGTTTGGCCGCCCCTAGCTTTCTTCCAACCTACTCCTATACCACTGAACATAGCACGTCGAGGCAGTCGGTCGTTGGGCATACGTAACACGTGTCCCAGCCATCTCAACTGATGAAGTTTCACTACTTCATCAATTGATTTGCCATCCTTACCTAGTACCCGTTTCCTAACAACTGTGTTACTTAATCGATGGTCCCATGATATACGAGCAATGTTTCGAAGACACCTATGATCAAATACTAGTAGCCTACGGATATCCTCTACTCTTCCCGGCCATGTTTCACTGCCATAGTAATCAAACTAGCAATAAACAAATATTCACATAAAATTGATATCTGGAAAACTCATTTTGTAATTTATTACAATCAGTTATATGAGTTCGTAAAAGCTAAAGTATGTTCATCACCCGAACTAATGATAGGGAGTGAAGTAGTTGAGCGTGTCGACCGCTTCACTTATCATGGAAGTCTCATCAACCCTTTTGGTCCGGTGTGTGACGAAATCTCAGCACGGATACAGAAGGCTCGACTAGCTTTTACCAACTTGCGTCATTTATGGCGTAGACAAGATATTCGTCAATTAACCAAAGGACGTGTTCACTGTGCAGCAGTTCGTTCCGTCCTACTTTATGGCAGTGAAACTGGCCGGTAAGAGTAGAGGATATTCGTAGGCTACTAGTATTTGATCATAGGTGTCTTCGAAACATTGCTCGTATATCCTGGGACCATCGAGTAAGTAACACAGTTGTTAGGAATCGGGTACTAGGTAAGGATGGCAAATCAATTGATGAAGTAGTGAAACTTCAGTTGAGATGGTTGGGACACGTGTTACGTATGCCCAACGACCGACTGCCTCGACGTGCGATGCTCAATGGTATAGGAGTAGGTTGGAAGAAAGCTAGGGGCGGCCAAACCAAAACATGGCACAAGTCCATGAAGTCACTGACAAGTGGACTGAGCCATGTTGGTAGGTGTAGACTACCTGGTTAGGGACCGCGAGATGATAGTAACCGATGGTTAGAGACCCTGAATGACATGGCTCAAAATCGATTGCAATGGCGCAGGTGCATCCACTCTTTGTGTTCTCCCAAATTCTAATCTTCTGAATTCTTCATGTTCCTTTCCAAATTTATTTCACTGGATTATACTCTTTAAATAGCATCTTCTAACCCTAGTCTTTCCGATTACTGCTTATACTCTTACCGCCTCTACCACTACGGGATTTGAATCGACAACTGCATCTCTGTGCTAATGTGGTATGGCAACTCAAACTGATGTACGTACGTACGAAGTTCTACGTTGATACTGACTGACTGACTAAGTGTGTATTCATGGGCAGTGTTCGAGATGTAGGGTGTTTCAGTAACAAAGTACGCCTCATGGAAACTACACAACAGATCCAACGTAAATAGATAAAGGACGTTAAGCAAATTTGTAAATTAGAAAACCCCTTCATCAATGATGCAACGTAGACAGAAACATAAATAAATCGCTTACATTTTTAGGTGTAAGTCGAACTGCGACCAACTTGTATAACAGTCATCGACCAAGAGCCTGATGAATTTAGAAAGCAGTAAAAACTGAGTATTTTTTCGGAACAAAAAATACGAGTGACAAGATCAACCTGACTTGAGAAAAACTTTAGCTATGATTTAGTAGTCTAGGGTTGTTAAAATTGAATTGTATTTCATTTACTAGCCTAGGCAATTGTGTAGTTTATCATACGTAATGTGATTCAAATAAGTCTGTTACATTGACCAGAATAAGTCTGATTTGCTCTATCACTACTTCAAGTTGGTTTAGTTATTGCAACTAAATTCAAGCAAATGAGCGAAAAATAACCCGTGCAAACCACGTAGTATTAATCACTTATCCATTAGGCAATATGTGGGAGTTTGTATATAGACTGTTTAAGCAAACTAATGGTAATAACACTTTTTCCAGTTCACGTTAGGGCAACAATAAATACATCAGCTAAATGATCCAGCCAATTCACCTGTCATTTAAGGGGTTGAAGAACGAACACCGAACTTCCTTCAGTATTTTGATAAGATTATCAACTAAGAAGCCACACACTCCTATATGCTCTGAATAACACAAAACTCTCTCCAATCTATCACCATTTCTTATCTTTTTGGTGTCGTTTATTGACTACTACCTAATATTTATAACAGCATGATTGTATTTCGTACTATCGATCGAAAGACGTTTTCACAGTATCTGAACTCAAAAGCAGTAGCAAACAAGTAAAATGTATCACTAGAGACGCCGTAATCGAAATTAGACAACTATATAGTAGTTAATAGAGGATTGTGATCAGGTGAATATAATCAGTGGTGTCTATGAACAACAACAAACTTTACCACCCACATCCAGATTTTCGATGTAATTTGGCAGGTAGTTCGTTTTTGTCAGCCTCTCTGGCACTGAATAATAGTTTATGAGTTCTCTGATCAATCTACAGCATATATGTAGATTTTTATCACACAAAAATGCCACATCTCCTGAATATCCTGAACAAAAACTTGAGGGTGTCTGGTATGTTTCAAATACGTACATGTAAAATGGTGTTTCAGAACTGTGTGTAATAACTTGCTTTGAAAATAAAGAACTAATTGGTTGGACTTCTAGACCCTTTTCTTTATCATTATGGCTGTATCACATTAATATGTTGGCCACTAACAATATTTGAGCACTCGCCAATCTACAAAAGTCTGAAACAATGAAGTAACACTTAAGATTTCGAAAAGACCATAGATCACTTATTACGATAATAAGCTAATCTATTATTCCTCATGGTGGATTATACTGAGGACAAACTAAAACACAGAAATGAAATTTAAAGTGAAAAAGAACCAGAACAATAAAACGTTTTTCTAGATATACTCATTATAAATTTAAACGGTCAACCTACTGTCTAACACCATAATTAGCCAATTGTAAAATCATATGAAGAGCTTCGTCGGAACCTGCTGGGATAACAAAGCGATACTGAAAAATAATTAAAAGATAAGATCATTGAATAGTTGGCGCGAACAAATTTTAAGTAATTTGTTGTATAGTATCTCGTCCCTTTAATTTCACACTTTTATTTGGTATTTGTTGTTGTTTCGTGGGTTTTCTCTAGCTATCTAATGAAGCATTACTTCTGAAAGCTTTATAATTATCAAGGCAGTATTATTTAAGTTTGTTAGTGTCACTCAATCAGTGTACATTAATCACGAAATATGGAATATATCCTAAAGAAAAACACAAGGCAGAAAATACTTTGGGAAAAGAATGACTTAAATCCAGATTATTGGGTAAAATCCAGACCAAAGTAAATATTAATTTTTTTAAAGTCGTTAAACTTATTACTACAGTCAGTCATATAGTGACTTTATATTCGCCTGCAAACAAAGATTTTCCTTTGATGGACAAAAAAGACCAAAACAAATAAATAAGACAGTAGTAAAATATACTTGACGAAAAATGGACCGGAGCACAAATGGGGACGACACTCCATCACGTAGTTACCAACATGCAGATTGAAAGCTAATTATAATTTGTCTGTATCGGAAGTATTTTGGTTTTGAAGCTCACTATTGTAATGTTTATGACAACAATGAGTATATTAAACAATATTTTTGGAGAAAATAGCCATCTTCATACATATTTACATATTTTTTGAAGCAAGATATCTTAAGACTATCTTTCAAAAGAACGGCTACCTAATCAACATCAAAAAAATCAACCCAACGCATCAGCAGAACCAAAATCAAGTAGGGAAACCAACAAACGTACCACCTCACCATGTATAAAAGACATCAGAAACTACAACGAGATTATTGAAGCCATTCGGAATAGTTGTAGCACACAACCTTGCAAAATCACTTCAATAAATCTTATGCAAACCAAAGGACTAAATGAAAAAAGAACCGAATATCATTTACAAAATAAGTTGTTGCAACTGCGCAAATCATCATATAGGAAGAAGTGGATGACCCCTTCAGCTTCGCCAGCACGAACATCAATTAGCAGTCAAACGCCATGACATATCCTCGCTTCTATCAATGCATGTGGACAATTGTTGACATACATGCGACTGTGGAAATGTTGAGATCGTATATAGAGGAAATACTAAAAGCACCAGAGAATTTTTAGAATCTTGGCACTCATGTCAGTTGGTAATCAACAAACATACTGAAATCGATCCAATCTATCAGCCACTCAGAAAAATCATGGACAAATATGGGAATTAGAATCAAATCAATGGGAGATACAATCAGAATAAAGTGGACAATGACAGGTTAAAGGTCAGCAATGACCAACCAAGATCGAGGTCGAGAGGATAAGGTGCGGGTTATATATGAAAAAATTCGAACACTTCACTTCTACCAGAAGTTTGTGCTGATGATGTCGTTCACAAGAACGACCAAACCATCCAGTTTAGAGGGCAAAAGTCCACCTAAAGATATTATCCGCTTAAAAATTTCGGCAACTACAATTATTATTTGGCCAACTAATATGTAGTAGAATACTTAACGTCCTTTACTCCAAAAGAGCTCGCGATACTTTTAAGAATTAACAAGAGAGCTTGTAACAGGAAGGGGCCATCGAACCTAAAAGCCGATAATGCCCTGATATTACATATGATTAATTATTAGATTCAACCTCAACATAGCTGTTAAGATAAGGGGGCGCTCACGACTCAAATGACTGTCAAATAAATATTTCTTTAGAAGAGAAGTACAAGTAACACAGCAATACAAATAGGCTAATAATACTACGCACTACATGACGTATATTTATACTTAACCGTTGACTAAGTACAGTAAGTAAAGATGTGAATAAACTAAAAAGTACAGCAAACTATAAACAACATTAGAACATATCATACTTCTATCGAAATAGAACAGCTAATTCTCTAAATATTGAACAAAACTTACTGTTTGGTTGCGTGTTTGTACACAAGTTTTGTACAATCGTGATTGAAAGACAGACTATAATACTGAGATTAAACAAAGACATGGACATACAGTAATGTGAATCCAGGGCGTGCATATTTTGGTGCCAAATACGTTAGGATAAAAGCATAAGTAATTCAAAGTTAGGATCATCCAACCTGGACGTGACTCCTTCCCACTGACAAGAAAACAAAAATAATCTACAAAGATTCGAGTTTCAAAAATGTCCATTCTTACGAATCACTTCTCTTTCCTTAAACGGGAAGTTGAATATTTGCCGAAGTTTTTCTGGTGTATAGCTACCACTTTCTAAAGATTAATCTATACAATCAACTCACTATCCTCCATTTTTCCAGGGTGAAAATCCTTAGAATCTCCAATACATGGAAGGAGGTACCAAGCTCATTTTTACAGCATAACAATCATTATCAAAGATACAAATTCAATGAATTGTTGAGTGAAGTGAACATTTGTTGGGTTTAGATTTTTTTCGACCAAAAGAGATTGGTTTTACAATAGCTATAAATAGATGAAGCGCAAAACAAAAACATGGGGAGTAAAGCAGCGAGTTTTGAAGTTAAAATGAAAACAACCAAAAGAAGTGTTAACAGCATTCATTTGTGTTGCGGCACTACCAGTGAAATTCTTGATGAATAAACTTCAATATTTACAATAACGGGGAAAACAACTGAAACTTTGAAGTGTATAGTGATCTTAAACCCAGTTTTACAGGACGCTATACCACGTATGTACCACGATTGTGTTCGATGTAAAACACCCACGGTTACTTTTAATGAAAAAATAAGCGAAATGCATATCTATGGTATTTTGCATCTTATCACATTCATTAGATGAAACACATCTGACAATCTGTTGAGTTGAAAAAAATACGAAATGTCGCTAAATTGAATTATGAGTTGCTGAGGGTTCCAAAACGAATAGGTTTAGCTCATGCAACTTATTTACATAAGTGTCTGTTTATGTACTCACTTGTGAACGACATATATTTCCTCTATATGCTAGTTATTTTATTTGGCTGTGCAAGTCAGAATAAGTCCAAACCCTTATACGTTTGTACACCAAGCTACTATTTTACAGCTTCAAATTCAGTGCGATGAACGAGACTACTATGCTTTTCTTCCCTGATCCATTGCCTAGTGAGAAATCCAGTTTGCATGGAGACTTTGTAGGTCGTAATCTCGAAAGAATAACGTCTGTATTTAAGTTGATCAGTTATGTAACGATCAAAACACGTATGATTTGTGAATTGAGTTACTATCACCGAACACAAATCGTAGAGAAAGTGTTGCGAATCACATAAACTAAGTAGAAATGGAATACACGAAAATTTAATGGACAGCATTCACTTAGAATAGCTTGAATCTACGATATGCGTTGAACTAAACGGAAGGAAAATCACAGACTGAACTGAGAAATAAGGATTGACTTTTTTCTTTGCATATTATATTTAGGGATTATACATCAACAAACTAGCGATTAGAAGGTTTGAAATTGAGATTTTCCATGTCAGTTCCTTATCAATATTGTATTGATATCAAGCTTTTACTGTAGGTAGTTTCGATCCTGAAGTAAATCCACTATGCATTTTGAAGAGTAAAAGGAAGTTTAGGGATTATTGTACAGTACCAAGTCACGTAAAGGCATGGTCTGATAAAATAGCCGCGCTGTGAAATATCCTAGCTACCTGGATGTGAGACTAAATTTGATTATAAAACCCTAAGATAGTATTTGCTGTCATATTTGAAAATCATTGGGAATATATCGTGACTAACTTAGTAGCCACTTTGTAGTGTTGACGAAAGACAACTCCAAAATAACATAGTCGAACACATATTTACAACATTTCGTTCGAAAAGATAAGTGGTTAGGCCTTAGGAATTCAATACATGTATACGAAAGATACCAATTACTTAAATAATGTAGAGAACTATGAACTCGAATTCAGAGTTCGTATGTGATCACAACACTTCAAAAGTTTATAAATGCCAAAACGCCTTGATGTATTGAATTCTGTAGAAAAAGGCAAGTGTCCTACTCCATTTGTAAAGAAATATGAAGAGAAAACTATTCATACGTCATGCTTGAATATAAACATAGGATCTTCCGACTTAGACATTCAAATATGAATAATGTTCGATACTTTTGTTTTGTTTAGAATTCAAATAATGGGGAGGTTTGTTTGTCGAAAACATGCTTCAGTTAAGAATGATATGAAGGAACAACTACCTAAATGCCCAGTTGAGTAAAGACGCAACGCTTACATTTGAAACAAGAGCGTATGCAGTCATTACATTGTTTCAATAACTGACGATCATTAAAGTTTGTTGAAATACTTGCTGCATTTAACACATGTGAACCTAATTTTGATGTAATTTGAAAGAACACCTGCAAAATGGATCCATATGAAAGGCTTCTTTGAAGCATCCATTGCAAATATATATCATCCTGACGTTTGTGCTGATGTTGTTCGTAAGAACAGTAAAAGTTCGATGACCAAAACACCAAGCTCGGACAATGAATTTTCACTTATGTATTTCTTTCTTTTGATAAAACGTATTCAGTCTGTTACTGAAAAAGTCACCTTTTCGTAGCCTGATTGCAGGAATTCAAATTGTTCAAATGGTTGTGGAGCTTTCGCTTAACAGGCTTCCGTGTCTAGCGGCAGGGGATCATCAATACCTCCCGTCAGGAACCTAGGTATGTTAACAATAAAAGAGGAAAAAGAAATTGGTAAATCATAGTGTGATGCAGTCCTTGGTCCTTAAGAACAGGTCAAGTTGCATCTTGAAGGACTCCTGGGAAGTCTCTTGGACTAGCTCGGCCGGCAGCGAGTTCCGGCATTCGACAACTCTTAAGGAATATAATTTATGTCTACGTTCCGTTTTGCTCTGTTGTGTCTCCAGTTTCTGGTTGTTACCCCTTAGGTTAGTGTTCAAACTAAGCTTAAGTATGTGTTTGAGAGGATGAGAATATTATAAGCCATAAATAGATCACCTCTAAGACGCCTATATTTTAATGGGTAAAGGTTAAGTGATTGGAGGCGCTCTTAATAATATTTAAATTTAAGTCCTCGAACTGATTTCGTGGCTCATCGTCGGATACGTTCCAGAGTGTCTTTATCCTTTTGGAGTGAGGGAGGAAACACTATGTTTTCGTACTGTAAAAGCGGACGAATAAAACTGTTGAAGATTATGTAGAAAGTTCTTCCGTCATACTGGCCAGAACTGCAAGGTTTGCTCGAAAGGCATTTTTGTCACAGTTAAAGTAAGACTTCAAATCGTAGGGCACCAGGACTCCCAAATCTTTTTTGACTCGAAACGCTACTAAAAAAGAGTTTCCTAAGTTGTAATTGTAGTCTGCGACATGTCGCAGATGGGCTACTTTACACGTTGAAGTGTTAAAAGTAAGTCCGTTATCGTCTGCCCAACTTTGAAATCGAGTCAGATCCTCCTGAAGTGCCTGTATATCGTCTTGTTTGCGTATCTCTCTCCAAAGTTTCACGTCATCAGTAAAAAGTAATAGGTCTGACGTTACCGGTTGAGGAAGATCATTTATATAAATCAAGAAAAGAGGTCAAAGTGTTGACCCTTGGGGGACCCCACTAGGACATTCCATAGCCTGAGATAAAGTGAAGTTAACCCTGACCTTAAAATGTCTACTTTTCAGATATGAAGTGAGCCAATCGATTAGAGGTGGCCTGATGCTTAATCGATTGAGCCTATTGATGAGACATATATGGTTAACCCTATCAAAAGGTTTTGAGAAATCAAAGTAAAGGGTATCAACTTTCCTCTTGCGATTGAGGATGCTTGTCCATTTGTCTATCGCAGTCAGAAGATTGGTTATACAAGAGCAACCCTTACTGAAACCATACTGTTGGGGTGAGAAGAAATTTAAGGAAAGTAAATAGTCATGTAAACCATTGCATATCAGGGACTCCATGATTTTTGAAGGTATTAAGAGAAGAGCCGCCGGTTGGTAACTTGAAGGTTCGCTGCGTCGACATCCCTTGAAAATCAGTGTGGTGTGAGTCAGCTTCTAATTTTCCGGTAGTTTGCCTCGGCTTAGCGAGTGTGAGAACATCACGCTAAGCGGTGTTGCCAGGATTGAGGCTGCCTCTTTCAGTATGGCAGAATGGACCAGATCTGTGCCAGGAGGACTGTCTTTTCTTAGGTGCTGCAGTTTCGGAACATCAATTCAGAGCTCAGGTTTACTACGGAAATTCCTGTGCAGTTTCAGATGAAGTAGTTATCAGTATAGTTGATGTGTGTCGTTTGAAATGTACGGGAGTACTGTTCAGTGAAAAGGTTAGAGGCGTCGCTATCGTTATTGGTTAGGCCGTTAGAACCTAGCAGTTGGGAAACTCCAGTCTTGGCTTGATGAAGAGAGGCTCCATAATGGAATAAGGTTTTGGGATCGGAGACAAATTTATCCATAAACTTTATCTGGCACTGAAGCCTGTCTTCGCTTATAGCCTTCGTGCATATGTTCCTCATATGTTTATATTGCCTGTACGCGCAGTTGTTGTCAGTTCATTTGTGTTCTGCCCAACAGTGCCTTTTGCGGCTTAGCAGGCGAAGAGTGCAATTCTTGATGACTGTAGGTTGCTTGTAGCTTTTGGGGACCGTTGGAGAAACTGACCGCCTAGTAGCACATACGAGAATGCACAGTAAAACGTCCCAATGAGCATTCACATCAATTTGAGGTTGAACATCCCAATCCACTTGTTGTAGATAGTTCTGTAGAGCTGACACGTTCAACCGTTTGAAATTCCAGTGCCTGTTGTCGGTGTGATATCTTGGCTCAGTTTTGCTGACAAAGCTGAAGGCTATAACAGTGTGATTGCTTTGCCCCAAAGAGGGCAGGACTGTTTTTCCAACGAGTTGCCGACTACACATTTTCGTATAATCCCAAATCCTCAATAAGGTTGAAGAAGCGAGCTTCAGTTGATTTTTCACCTCCAATATATGTATGTTCCACGGAATTGACTCTAAGGAAATTGAAGTCCCCTTGAATCAGGATTTGAGTGAAACCGAGACGGGTAGAGCGGGATAGTCCTTCCAGCATACGACTGTCGTACTCGATGTCGGCGGGGGGCTTCCTATATATGACTCCGACTAGACACCTCGAAGTAGTAGACAATCTTACGGAACACCATATGGATTCCTCAAGATTGTTGAACTCATGGTTGTGGACTTGGTGTACCTCCAAGCAAGATCATATGTATACGGATACTCCACCCCCAATTCCTGTTTTTCTGTGGCTTCAAAACAAAGACATCCCAGGTATTGCTAGCTCCTGGTCCGAAAACTAAGAAGTCCAAGTTTCAGATATTTCTATCAGATGAACCTTATTAGCATTGCTTAGTTCACGTAACTCATCCATTTTGTTTGGTAGACTCGCAGCATTCATATATAAGCAGTTTATGCTCTCAGTTTGAAACACGTGAGATTCTTCCTGTTTGTCTGTATAAGCCTTGCGTGAATGGACAGACAGCCTATCTATATAATGTTTACCAAGTTGGTACGCCCTGTCTGTTACACGTTTTTTATCATCAAGACAGTCCACAAGTGGAGTGGTCAGCTCCGACTTGCCTTTATGCTTGATCCTGGCGTCATGTGGCCTGTATGGGTGCATGTGGATTCCAGTCGGCAACCGACGTCTGTTGGCACAAAATGCTTGCATAGTTGCAGCCTCCATATGGGAAGATGGGAAAGTTATCCTCATCAGCCGAGGTCTAGAATCACTGTCCTTCTTGGCTAGTCTCACCACTTGTTGAGTCAGTATGTTTTTGGGCCTCAAGGACTGTTTGATGAATTTCCATTCCCTTTTATCAGAGTTTGCTGGAATAGGGTTCGTATTTTCCGGTACACCTTGCACAATTATATTTCTCTCGCGGAAAAACGTCTCGCGAGATTCTTTAGGGATGTTCCGGATGAGATTGTGCTCAGAATACGGTATGTCGGGCAGTATTCTTACGTTCCCATCAGATTTAAGTAAATCGCTGGCTAGCGGGACTTTCTCTACCTTGGTAGCATTCCTAAGTATTACACTAAGCAGCTTCAGGTGAATTTGGTGCTTAGATTCCTTTCCCCGAGTGAGCAAGTTCAGGCTTCTTGTTCGATTCACCCCAAAGCATCCTGTCATTTCTGTCCTGTAAACTGAGAGGAATGTCGGGGTTGTCTTTGAGGTCCGTGATTATGAGAGAGTCATCACGAACCGCTGTTGTATTCCCACGTTTTTCAGTGCGTTCAGGTTCAGCACCGTGCTGTTTGGAGGCCGAAGGACGTTTGTGAATCCTAGGCTCTTTGATGACCGGACGGATATTCTTGGGGGTAGACTGTGCGATCAAATCACCAGATGATTTCCATATAACACTTGAGATGTTCAGCTTAGACGGTGACGCCTGGTTCTTTTTAGCTCTGTTGACGCGATTCCAATCACCCACAGAGTGTTTGGGAACCACTCTTGCATTCAAGGACCCTGAGCTCGGAGACCTTAGTTTACTGATGGAGTCTATTACGGTCGACGTAGTGATGATGCTGAGTTTCAACATGTCATCATTAGTGCCAGTGCATGCTCCATCGATGGTAGATCTGTCGACATCCCCATTCTTGTTTTCGTTGCGCGCCCTTGCTTGTCTACCCGTTTTATGATTGTCTTTTACCAAGTTGGCTGACAACTTATTCCGCAAACCTGTCAATAGGACAATGGTGTTACTCAGCAAAACTACAGCATCCGTGCTGCACGTAACACATACCTACTTATGATCCGAATTGCTGAGTCTGTTGTAAGCAGTTGCTGTGAGAGCTGTACACGCTTCATGGAATCAACCTTTGCAGTTGTCGTACTGCATGCCAGATGTAACAGAAAAACGGCATCCAGGTCGTTTGCATGAATTTTTCATGAGTATATTGACGAATACTGTACTATAGATGCTACCAAAAGCCTAAGACCGTAAAAAATGCACTAAAAACTGGTAAAAATGGATAAAAAAGGATGAGATAGTCTGAACTAGCCTTTACGCGAAAAACAGAAAAAACGAACAGCAAGCTGAATCAAAACCACAGCTAACTATTAAATTGGGGGAAACTCGAAAAAAATAATCTACCGAACGTATAGCTCATAATAGATTCTTTCGATCAGAAACGGTACTTTTGTTGCGTAAGAACACAGCAGAAGTTTGAGAAATGCAAATCACATTAGGACTAAACTTCCCGTTCGTAAAGCGCGCTATTACTAACATTATCTCTTTTGAGCAAATCTTGTTAAATCTTGGTACTACAATGTG